ACCCCGTCTCTACTAAATACACAAAAATTAGTGGGGTGCCTGTAATCCCAGCTACTCAGGAGGCTGAGGCAGGAGAATGGCTTGAACTCGGGAGATGGAGGTTTCAGTGAGCCAAGATCATGCCACCACACTCCAGCCTGGGCAACATGAGCGAGGCTCCGTCTCAAAAAATAAATAAATAAACAAACAAGTAAAACCCAGTATAGGCACACCCTGGAAACCAGGGTAGGTATAAACACTTAGATGACCCATTAACCTCAGGCAGTACCTTCCCCTCTGACAGTTGGGGACAGGACATAGAGTTAAGTAAGATAAAACTCTTGGAAAAAACACCAAATCCCTTTGCAATTCCGTTTCAACCCTGTAGCTCAGCAGTCTCAACCTTTTTAGCCTAAGGGACCAGTTTTGCGGAAAACAATTTTTCCATGGATATGGTGGGGCTGGGGTGGGGATGGTTTCGGGATGGTTCAAGCTCATTACATTTATTGTGCACTTTATTTCTATTATTATTACATTGTAATATAATAATTATACAACTCACTGTAATGTAGGATCAGTGGGAGCCCTGAGCTTGTTCTCTGGCAACTAGACAGTCCCATCTGGGGGTGATGGGAGACACTGACAGATCATCAGGCATTAGATTTTCATAAGGAGCATGCAACCTAGATCTCTCGCATTTCACAGTAGGGTTCATACTCCTATGGACATTTAATGCTGCTGATCTGACAGGAGGTGGCGCTCAGGCACAATGCAAGTGATGGGGAGCTGCTGTAAATACACATGAAGCTTTGCTCACTCACTCTACGCTTACTTCTTGCTTTGTGGCCCAGGTCCCAACAGGCCAGGGACCACTGGACCAGTATGGGTCCGTGACCCAGGAGTTGGGGACCTCTGCTATAGATGATCTTAACAAGGTCTTCACAGGGTACAAGTGAACCTAACATTTGCTACCATCCCTTCGGGACAAAGGGAGGAACAAGCCTTAGGTCCAGAGCCTAACAGAGGTTAACAACTTTTAAAATTTTAATTGTTTTAATATATCCACCTTGCTTATTGCAGTAATACCAAGTTTCCATTCTGGAATTATCAAGTTTCTGCTTCAGGCCAGGCATGGTGGCCTGCACTTTGGGAGGCCGAGGTGGGAGGATCACGTGAGGCCAGGAGTTTGAGACCAGCCTGGGCACGTGGTGAAACTCCACCTCTATAAAAAAAATACAAAAATTAGCCAGGTGTGGTAGCATGCACCTGTAGTTACAGCTATTTGGGAGGCTGAGGGGGAGCCCAGGGAGGTCAAGGCTAAAGAACCAAGATCACATCGCTGCACTTCAACCTGAGTGACAAAGTAAGACCCCGTCTCAAAAGAAAAAAAAAAAGGAAAAAGAAACAGGTCACTCTGGCCCACGCTTCTCTTTTCAGGCAGTGGCATGGGATATACACATTCCATCTGTGTTCCTGCAGATGCCCACTGTGCACTGCACACCGCCTGAGGGGAGAAGGACTGGCTCCCAGCCAGCCTGCAGAACCCAGTTCCCACGCCCTCCACTTCAATGCCCTTTTCTTTTCTTTTCTTTTGAGATGGAGTCTTGCTCTGTTGCCCAGGTTGGAGTGCAGTGGCACAATCTTGGCTCACCACAACCTCTGCCTCCTGGGTTCAAGTGATTCTTGTGCCTCAGCCTCCAATCAGCTGGAACTACAGGCCCACGCCACCACGCCCGGCTAATTTTCGTATTTTTAGTAGAGACGGGGTTTCACCATGTTGGCCAGGCTCCCATCGTGCTGGGATTATAGGCGTGAGCCACTGCACCCAGCCAGATGCACTTTTCTTCAATTCCCTCATGTGTCAAACAGAGATAAACACGAATCTACCTCATAGGGCAGTAGTGAAAACTTCAGCCAACTCCTATACATTCCTCAGAAAAGGATATGGACAGGCTCAATAAATGTTAGCTATTTGTTCCTTTCCTTTGTCGCTTAAGAAGCAATTCAGCAAGTTTATGCAGGAGTCCCATCTCCCTCCTTTGCAGATAGGCCCCTCTCCTTTATGCCCCAGAAGAAAAGGGAGCTCTTTAAGTGGTGCTATGGATTTCCAAGGTCAAAGGTGAAGGAAGAGTAATATAAAGAGTTTCTCAGTAGGAGGAAAGGAGTGGGGGACTTGGGGGCCAGGCCAGGAAATTCCTTGTGGCCCTCAAGATCTTTACCCAAAAACAGTTTTGTTGAATTTCACCCTGGCAATGTACATTGATAGGTGATCTTCACAGGTGCAGGACAGAAAGTCATCCCTCAGCTCACCTGAGACAAAAATGCATATCCGGTTGCTCTCTCTGCCCTAAAGTTTACATAAAAATGCAGATTTGGCCACTGGTCACGCCTGTAGTCCCAGCATTTTGGGAGGCTGAGGCGGGTGAATCACCTGAGATCAGGAATTTGAGACCAGCCTGACCAACATGGTGAAACCCTGTCTCTACTAAAAACACAAAAATTAGCCGGGCGTGGTGGCGGGTGCCTGTAATCCCAGCTACTTGGGAGGCTGAGGCAAGAGAATTGCTTGAACCCAGGAGGCGGAGGTTGCAGTGAGCCGAGATCGCGCCATTGCACTCCAGCCTGGGCGACAGAGCGAGACTGTCTCAAAAACAAAACAAAAAACAAACAAAAAACAGCAGATTCATGAGTCAGACTGAGGCATAAATGACTATTCCTCTACCTGCCCTGTCCCCCACGTAAATTGTGTATTCAGTGAAAGGCTGACCAACGACTCAAAAGAACGCAATCTACCTGTGACCATCTTACACGTACTCATTTATGTCTCATGTCTCCCCGAAATGTATAAAAGCAAGCTGTGCCCCAACCACCTTGGGCACATGTTGTCAGGACCTCCTGAGGCTGTGTCATGGACATGTCCTTAACCTTGGCAAAATAAACTTTCTAAATTGATTGACACCTGTCTCATATACTTCGGATTCTCAGTCCCCTGCGGAGCTTCTGTCAGCCCTTCCAAGTGGCTGCCTTTCCTGGCTACTCAGAGCCCGTGCTCTCTGGCCTCCTCTCCCCAACCCACAACCCCTCCCTTCCACCCACTCCTGAGGTGAGCTGGGGAGGTCTGGCTCTGTGACCACCCCTGACCTGAGTCCTCCAAGGTCCCCTAGATCTGGCACAGGGCTGGGTTGGGGGAGGAAAGTACAGATTTGAAACACATAAAATGGTGCCTAGGGATGGCCAAGTAAGAATTACCTGGAGAACAGCCTAGGCTGAAAGGCGGGAAACAGCAGTACCAGTCCCTGTGATCTATCAGGCATGCTGAGGGTAAAACAGAAGGTAAGGCCCCTGACTGGCAGCCAGTTTCCTTCTCTCAGCCAGGATTCTGCTCAAGAAAACTGTGCTGGCCAGGTGTGGTGGCTCACGCTTATAATCCCAGCGCTTTGGGAGGCTGTGGCAGGTAGATCACTTGAGGTCAGGAATTTGAGACCAGCCTGGCCAACATAGCGAAATCCTGTCTCTGCTGAAAATACAAAAAATTAGCCAGGCAAGATAGTGCACATCTGTAATCCCAGCTACTCAGTAGGCTGAGGCAGGAGAATCGCTTGAACCTGGGGAGTGGAGGCTGCGGTGAGCAGAGATCTCGCCACTGCACTCCAGCCTGGGCAACAGTAAGACTCTGTCTCAAAAGAAAAAATAAGGGGGGCCGGGCGCGGTGGCTCATGCTTGTAATCCTAGCACTTTGGGGGGGCCAATGCGGGCAGATCACTTGAGGCCAGGAGTTTGAGACCTGTCTGGGCAACAGGGAGAAACCCCGTCTCTACTAAAAAATACAAAATTTAGCCGGGTGCAGTGTTGCGCACCTGTAGTCCCATCTACTTGGGTGGCTGAGGCAGGGGAATGCCTTGAACCCGAGAGATGGAGGTTGCAGTGAGTCGTGATCATGCCACCGCACTCTAGCCTGGGCGACAGAGAGAGACTCCGTCTCAAAAGAAAATTAGAAAAGTGTGCCATAACATGCTGGGGACCCTAAAAGACTCCATCCACATCTCCCTCTACCAGCCACACCCACTCTGGTTCAAACACCAGCCTCCCATAAGGGCGGCCTCACCTGCCACTCCCAGAGCCTAGACTCCACCTCACTCACCTGCTCAAAGCCCAGTAGTGGCTTCCCAACCCTCTCAGAACAAAACCCAGCCTCCTTATGGGCATTTTCTCTACCTAAGCCTTTCCAGCTGCTCTTCCCCGCCTTTCTCATCCTTCCCAGCACTCAAGAGATACCCTTCAAAGCCACTTCCAGGTAAACAGCAGCCCTGCTCTCCCATCCCATCACTCTTTTATTATTTGCATACCATCACCCGTATCTAGAGCGACATCGTTCACTCAATTATTTGTACCCTGTAGCCTCCTTGTCCCCACTGACTAGGACGGGGCCCAACACACAGCAGGCACTCAGTGCACAGGTAATGAATGAATAAACAAAATGAATGAAAAGAAAGCGAAGGCCAGAGAAGCCGGGGATTTTATCCCCAGGCGGCTTCTGTAAAATTCTTTCAATTTTTTCCCCCAGACCACGTACCCGAGGGTAGCGCCAGCCCGACCCTACGGCGCCCTCACTCCCCAGTCCGCGCGCGACAGGCTTCGGCAGCCGCCGCGTCTCACCCGGTCTTCGCGGCCACGTGGGGAAAGGTGGGGCGCACGGCTGTCACCCAGGGCGCTGCCTCTAGCCCCTTCCGGCCGCCGTACGCGCGCAGGCGCCGAGGCGCCCCCAGGCTCGGCCTCCCAGAGCCCTGCGGACGGCTCACGATAACCAAGGACGACCGCAAACCAAGGTAAAGACAACGAGGCCCCCTCGTGCGCGACGGAGGCGTCTTTGCCGCCCTTTCCGGGACGGTCACGGTGCTCGCCGCCCCCAGCAGGGAAATGTTTTGCCTCCGGAGCGTCCACCCAGAAGAAGCGGCCACCGCGCTTGCGCAAGAGAGCCGGGCAGCGGCGGCCCGCGCCTGCGCACCAGGACTCGGCGGCGGCTTGCGCCTGCGCGGCGCGGCGCTGCGGAGACCGTTGGTTCATTTGCATGTCCCCGCCTCGCGCGGCGGCGGCGGCGGGTGAGGAGCCTGAGGCGGCGGCGGGGGCGGCTCCGCGCGCGGTGGTCTCGGGGTGAGGCCCGGGCCCTGGCGTCGTAGGTGGGTGGGTCCCGGGGTGGGAGGCTCGGGCTCGGCCTTGGGGGCCCGCCCCGGGCTCCGTGATGGCGTCGCAGGCTCGGCCCTCTGGCTGCGGCGGCGGCGGCCGCGTCCCCACCAGGTTGGCCTGGGTGGCCGGCTGCGGCCTCCCGGGCCCGGCGCCCCTATTTCCTCGCCCTCAGAGACCGGGAGACGGCGGGCCGCTTCCACAAAGGCTCATTGGTTCAGTCGTTCATTCATTCCTCCCGAACTCGGAGCGGCCCCCGCTGGGGAGGAGATAACGGCGCCCAGCGCTGCATCGGGCCCTTCCCCTCTTTAGAACCGGTTCAGCCCACACACCAGCCCGTTTACTAGCTGCCCTTTCCGTAGGTAGGGAAACGGAGGCACAGAAAGCTTAGGATCGTGTGATTTGAACCTGGGTCACCTGACCCTGGAACCCTGCCCTTTGCCAGCAGAGAACAAGGGGGCGCCTAGGGAAAAGGGCTGAAGGATGGGACGAGGGGGAGATCGTGATGGGAAATCGACCCTACGGGTTGCGTCTTAAAGTTGGAGATTTTGCGAGGCGGGATATCTTGATGGTTAAGGATGCAGCCCCTGGACCCCAAAATGTTGCTTCTTAATCTTTTTACCCATTCTTCGGGGCTTTGGATGCATGAATACGCTGTTTGCCAGATTCACATCTGGGCTGTCTGATCTTGAATGGGTCGTTGAGTCTGTCTCCCTTTGACTCCTCACCCTAATGTCATTCGTAACAGGACCCGCCTCTTCAGTGGGTGGTTGGGAGATCGCGCAAGGACCCAGCACAGAATGGACTCTGTCACTAGTTCATTGTCACTGGTTGGGGGTCCTGCCACTCACCGTCAAGAGGCTTCTTTTAGAAGGGAAGGAAGTTCTTGGAGCCTCTGTGCACTACTGAGTCTGTGAAATGGGAAAAGAGCGATCCTGGGCCGGGCGCAGTGGCTCACGCCTGGAATCCCAGCACTTTGGGAGGCCAAAGTGGGCGAATCACTTGAGGTCAGGAATTCGAGACCAGCCTGGCCAACATGGTGAAACCCCATCTCTGCCTAAAATGTAAAAATTAGACGGATGCGGTGACGGACTCCTGTAATCCCAGCTACTCAGGAGGCTGAGGCAGGAGAATAGCTTGAGCTCGGGAGGTGGATGTTGCAGTGAGCATGCCGCTGCACTCCAGCCTGGGCAACAGAGAGAGTCTCAAAAAAAGAAAGAAAAAAAAGATTGATCTCTTCTTTCCTAACCACGATTTGCGAGGGTTGTGGTCCCACCCTTCCTACTCTGTTATGCTCAGTTACGTGTGTTGGTTGACACCTTCCTCCAGCAGATAGAACTGCTTTCACAGAGCTGCTTTTAATGGATTCCAAGGAGATGGGCTCAGAGATCTGTCTTTGCTCCTTTTCAGCCAGCACACACCTGTGAACTTCGTGAGGGCAGAGGCCCCCTTAAAAGAGTCCATCCAAGGTGGGCATATCGCTTGAGGTCAGGAGTTTGAGACCAACCAGGCCAACCTGGCAAAACCCTATCTCTACTAAAAAAATTAAATAAAAAATAAAAAGGGTCTAGCCTGCCTCTGAAGTTCCATGCGAGGATTATGGATTACTGCCTCCTTACTTTGAGGATTAGGTGAAATAGAACAGGTTCTGTGAGCACAGTTTTGTGTGTGTGTGTGTGTGTTGTTTTTTTTTTTTTTCCTTGAGACAGAGTCTCGCTCTGTCCCCCAGTCTGGAGTGCAATGGCATGATCTCAGCTCACTGCAACCTCTGTCTCCCCAGTTCAAGCAATTCCCATGCCTCAGCCTCCTGAGTATTTGGGATTACAGGCACGTGCCACCATGCCTGGTGCTTTTTTTTTTTTTTTTTTTTTTTTGAGATGGAGTCTCACTCTGTTGCCCAGGCTGGAGTGCAGTGGCATGATCTCAGCCCACTGCAACCTCTACCTCCCAGGTTCAAGCAATTTGCTTGCCTCAGCTTCCCAAGTAGCTGGGATTAAAGGTGCACACCACCACGCCTGGCTAATTTTTGTGTTTTTAGTAGAGACAGGGTTTTGCCATGTTGGCCAGGCTGGTCTTGAACTCCTGATCTTAAATGATCCGCCCACCTCAGCTTCCCAAAGTGCTGGGATTACAGGTGTGAGCCACCATACGCAGCCTGAATTTTTTGTATTTTAGTAGAGACGGGGGTTTCACCATGTTGCCTAGGCTGGTCTCGAACTCCTGAGCTCAGGTGATCCGCCCACCTCAACCTCCCAAAGTGCCAGGATTACAGGCATGAGCCACCGTGCCCAGCCCCAAGTTGTGACTCTTAGTGTAGTTTTTTCTGTCTCACCATAGGGCAAAGTAACATGGCAGCCAGACGAATTACACAGGAGACTTTTGATGCTGTATTACAAGAAAAAGCCAAGCGATATCACATGGATGCCAGCAGTGAGGCTGTAAGCGAAACTCTTCAGTTTAAAGCTCAAGGTAAAATAAAGTATTGTTGTTGTTGTTTTGGTTGGGGGTGTATCTTAGGGCCAAGGCAGGAAGATTGCAGTACCTTGGGCAAATAATACCAGTCCTCTGATCCTTACATTCCTTATTTAGGAGATAATGGTTTTTTATTTTGGTTTGGTTTAGTTTTTGAGACAGGGTCTTACTCTCTCCCCCAGGCTGAAGTACGATGGCACAGTTTTAGCTCACTGCAACCGTGAACTCCTAGGCTCAAGCCATCCTCCCATCTCTGCCTCCCAGAGTGCTGGGATTATAGGCATGAGCCACTGCGCTTGGTCAGGGGATAATGTTTTGATCTGTCAGTCATCATTACGCAGATATCTGGAGCCTCTCGCAGTATATCCTCCCCGACCCACCTCAAGACAGTTTTGTTTGTTTGTTTGTTTGTTTTGAGACAGAGTTTCACTCTTGTCTCCCAGGCTAGAGGGCATTGGAGGGATCTCGGCTCACTGCAACCTCTGCCTCCTGGGTTCAAGCGGTTTTCCTGTCTCAGCCTCCTGAGTAGCTGGGATTACAGGCATGCGCCACCACGCCCAGCTAATTTTTGTATTTGTAGTAGAGATGGGGTTTTACCATGTTGACCAGGCTGGTCTCAAACTCCTGACCTCAGGTGATCCGCTTGCCTTGGCCTCCCAAAATGCTGGGATTATAGGCATAAGCCACCGAGGCCAGCCCAGTTTTGTTTTTTGGTGTTGTTTTTTTTTTTCTTTTAATAGATATGGGGTCTTGCTATGTTGTTCAGGCTGGTCTGCAACTCCTGGGCTCAAGCTATCCTCCCACCTCTGCCTCCAGTGTGTGTTGCCATTGCAGGCATGAGCCACTGCTCACAGCCCCAAGACAGGTTCTTGGATCCATTTCCTGGCTCCATCCCCATCACCACTTAAAATTTTTTTTTTTTTTTTTTTTTGAGACAGAGTCTTGTACTGTCGCCCAGGCTGGAGTGCAGTGACGTGATCTTGGCTCACTGCAGCCTCTGCCTCCCGGGTTCAAGCAATTCTCCTACCTCAGCCTCCCGAGTAGCTGAGATTACAGGCGCCTGCCACCATGCCCGGCTAATTTTTTTGTATTTTTTTTTAGTGGAGATGGGGTTTCACTATATTGATCAGGCTGGTCTTGAACTCCTGACCTTGTGATCCACCTGCCTCATCCTCCCAAAGTGCTGGGATTACAGGTGTGAGCCACCGCACCCGACCAGCTCTACCAGTTCTTACCTGGATAATCAGAACAATCTCCTTCTGCAGCATCTCTCTGTTTCTGGCTTCATTCCCCTCATGTCTCCCCTTTATAGGGTTGGTCCACAGATCTGTTAGTGACAGCCTTACTGAACCACTGCTCTCCTTGGCCTCTTGGGGCTCCCCACTACAGGACACACCTGCAGGAGCAGCCAGGCCACAATATAAACAAGACAGGAGGGCATGGGGTGGCCTGTAGAGCTGCTGATTTTAGGCCCTGTCTGAAAACATTCCCATTGGAAGGTTTTGACACACCATGCCAGCAGAATCAAAAACAGTGCCTGCACAGATCGCAGGATGACATGAAGGGTCCTTCACCTCCTGCCTTGGACCTCACACTGAGGGCTGCTGTGCTGCCTGCTACCTATGCTTTGAATTCCTCCTGTCCCAGCACTGCCTGGTAAATTCCCTCAGGTACCAAGACAGATCACAGGTGCCTTCCCCCGGGAAGCCTCAGCATGCCTTGAGGCTGATTTGGTTGCCCTTTCCTGCCCCAGGGAAGTACATCGTGTACTCACTCCTCTGCCTGTCTCCTCTTGGTAGCACAGACAGTGCTGCTCCCAGCCACACCAGCCTTGGGGTGGAGGAGGTCTCCTGTGTTGGGTGACTTCTAAGTGTTTGGGGTAGGAATAACGAACATGCTCTGGACCTGGACAAAGCAGGCTCAGAGATTGTCTTCAGATCTTGAGTTTTCAATAATCACATGAGTACTACACACAAACATTCCTGTTATAAAATATTGGAACAAATAAGAAGTAAAGGTTAAAATTAAAGTTCTCTTAACTGCTTGCTTATCCCTCTGAGGTATAACCGTATCCATGGTGTTTGTGCATTCTTTAGTTGTTTTAGTGTAATACATGTATGTAATACTGAATATTTATGTTTTATTTAGATGGAGATTTAAATCTTTAACTTTACCTAGAGACTCAAGCACCAATACATATCTTAGTTACCTCCAGAAAGATTAGGGGCCTGGGCACAGTGACTCACACCAGCAATCTCACCACTTTGGGAGGCTGAGGCAAGAGGATCATTTGAGCCCTGGAGTTACAGACTAGTCTGGGCAAAAAAGTGAGACTCAGGGCCGGGCGCAGTGGCTCAAGCCTGTAATCCCAGCACTTTGGGAGGCCGAGACGGGCGGATCACGAGGTCAGGAGATCGAGACCATCCTGGCTAACACGGTGAAACCCTGTCTCTACTAAAAAATACAAAAAAAACTAGCCGGGCGAGGTGGCAGGCGCCTGTAGTCCCAGCTACTCGGGAGGCTGAGGCAGGAGAATGGCGTAAACCTGGGAGGCGGAGCTTGCAGTGAGCTGAGATCCGGCCACTGCACTCCAGGATCCAGCCGCTGCACTCCAGCCTGGGCGACAGAGCGAGACTCTGTCTCAAAAAAAAAAAGTGAGACTCCCTCTCTACAAAAAATAAAAAGTTATCTGGGCATGGTGGCTTGTACCTATGGCTCTGGCTACTTGGGAGGCTGAGGCAGGAAGTTGGCTTGTGCCCAGGAAATTGAGGCTGCAGTAAGCCGTGTTTGTGCCATTGTACTCCAGCCTGGGCCACAGAGTGAGTCCCTGTCTCAAAAAAAGACGGCTGGGTGCAGTGGCTTACACTTGTAATCCCAGCACTTTGGGAGGCCAGGGTGGGCAGATCACCTGAGGTCAGGAGTTTGAGACCAGCCTGGCCAACATGGTGAAACCCCGTCTCTACTAAAAATACAAAAATGTGGCGGGCACCTGTAATCGCAGCTACCCAGGAGGCTGAAACAGAAGAACAGCTTGAACCCGGGAGGTGGAGGTTGCAGTGAGCCAAGATCGCGCCCCTGCACTCCAGTACTCTAGCACTCTAGCCTGGGCAACAGAGTGAGACTCTGTCTCTAAAAAAAAAGAAAAAAAAAGTGTTAGAGCTACTTTCCTTGACCAGCCTGTCTCAAAATGTCATTGCCTCCTCAGGTTCCCACCTGCTTGATTTGTCTTCTTGGTACTTACTTGTATCTGATATGTTCCTGATTTTTGTCTGACTCTCTCAACTGACACGTTTCAGAGAGTTCTTATTTTCTTGCTATAACTTCAGTGCCTAATACTGTGCTTGCACACAGTAGGTGCCCAGTTTGTACTTGTTGAACAAATGAACTAGGATTTATACACAACTTTGGCTTCCTGTGGCCTCTTAACCCATTACTACCTCCTGGCACCTCTCTTTCCCTATTCATTTGTGTGTTTTTTTTTTTTTTTTAAACTAGGTCATTGATTCTGATTGAAAAGCTAGAAAGAAAGGCACTCCATGAAAACTCTCCCTGAGGCCCGCTCTTCTCATATGCCCATAGTTCATCGCTTCTGTTCCTTGCTGCTTACAGTTTCTCCATGTGATTAAGCAAATGCAAATATATCTTCCCCTATGCCCTTTTTTCTTTTTGACAGAGACAGGGTCTTGCTATGTTGCCCAGGCTGGTCTCAAACTCCTGGGCTCAAGTGATCCTCCCACCTCGGCCTCCCAAAGTGCAGGGATTATAGGTTTGAGCCACTGTGCCTGACCCATTTCCCCTTTTCTACATGGAGAAGGACAGAAGTAGACACTGTTCCGTTTCTATCATGGCCTCTCTTGATGTATCTTGCTAAGTTTCTGCCCTCCCTCCTGCCTGCCTCAGTCTGTGGTTTTTCAGCTCCAAAGAGAGGGTTGATTGGCCTGGCCTACCTTTCCAAGGGATAGGTTCAGCCAACTTTGGGTCAGCTGTGGTGGGTGTGGTGTTAGCTATGGTTCATCTAGCCTCACAGTTGCACTGTGGGCGGAGACTTCCTTCTAGGAAGCGGTGAAGGCAGGTAACCTCAGTAAAACCTATCTGTTCTGAGATAGAAGTAGAAACACAGAAGTGTTCCAGTTGCAGTAAAGATATCCAGGTTATTTGGGGACCAAACACCCTTTCCTCAGACTAAAAGAGGGATTGCCAATCCAGATGGCTAGAGAGTAGGGGATCTGAATGAGCGAGGGCTGTTGGTGCCAACTTAGAGAGTCTGTGTCTTGCCCGTTGGGCTGCTGCTCCCCGGCCTGGGTTGATTGTCATCAGGGCAAACTCAGGGTTGGTGCTTTTACATCTCCTGTTTTAGTAAGTAGTCGATCCAGATTTTTAAATGACACCACACACATTTTAAATGTTAGCAACAAATACAGATTGGCAAACAGCACTGAGGTGTATAAAGCACTTTTGCTGCCTGGTGATCCGTGGACTGTTTGTTTGCACTGTTTGCATCCTCTGGTCTAAAGTGCCTTTTGGCTTCTTCTTTTTTTGAATGGTTTATTTCAGATCTCTTAAGGGCAGTCCCAAGATCCAGAGCAGAGATGTATGATGATGTCCACAGCGATAGCAGATACTCCCTCAGTGGATCTGTAGCTCACTCGCGAGACGCCGGAAGAGAAGGCCTGAGAAGTGATGTATTTCCAGGGCCTTCCTTCAGATCAAGCAACCCTTCCATCAGTGATGACAGCTACTTTCGCAAAGAATGTGGCCGGGATCTGGAATTTTCTCACTCTGATTCTCGGGACCAGGTCATTGGCCACCGGAAATTGGGACATTTCCGTTCTCAGGACTGGAAATTTGCACTCCGTGGTTCTTGGGAGCAAGACTTTGGCCATCCAGTTTCTCAAGAGTCCTCCTCTTGGTCACAGGAGTATAGTTTTGGTCCCTCTGCAGTTTTGGGAGACTTTGGATCTTCCAGGCTGATTGAGAAAGAGTGTTTGGAGAAGGAGAGTCGGGATTATGACGTGGACCATCCTGGGGAGGCTGACTCTGTGCTCAGGGGCAGCAGTCAAGTCCAGGCCAGAGGCCGAGCTTTAAACATCGTTGACCAGGAAGGTTCCCTCCTAGGAAAGGGGGAGACTCAGGGCCTGCTCACAGCTAAGGGGGGTGTTGGGAAACTTGTCACATTGAGAAATGTGAGCACAAAAAAAATACCCACCATGAATCGTATTACTCCCAAAACTCAGGGCACTAACCAAATCCAGAAAACCACTCCAAGTCCTGATGTGACCCTGGGGACAAACCCAGGGACAGAAGATATCCAGTTCCCCATTCAGAAGATCCCTCTGGGGCTGGATCTGAAGAATCTTCGGCTCCCCAGAAGAAAGATGAGCTTTGACATCGTAGATAAGTCTGATGTTTTTTCAAGATTTGGGATAGAAATAATCAAATGGGCAGGATTCCACACCATAAAAGATGATATTAAATTTTCCCAGCTTTTCCAGACTCTCTTTGAACTTGAAACAGAAACCTGTGCTAAAATGCTTGCCTCATTCAAATGTTCCTTAAAACCAGAGCACAGAGATTTTTGCTTTTTTACTATCAAATTTTTAAAGCACTCTGCTTTGAAAACACCCAGAGTTGATAATGAGTTTTTAAACATGCTTTTAGACAAAGGTGCTGTGAAGACCAAAAATTGCTTTTTTGAAATCATAAAGCCCTTTGACAAGTACATAATGAGACTTCAAGACCGGCTTCTGAAGAGTGTCACACCTCTGCTTATGGCCTGCAATGCCTATGAGCTGAGTGTCAAGATGAAGACCCTCAGTAACCCCCTGGACTTGGCTCTTGCCCTAGAAACCACCAATTCTCTCTGCCGGAAGTCTTTGGCCCTTTTGGGACAGACATTCTCCTTGGCCTCTTCTTTCCGGCAAGAGAAAATCTTAGAAGCTGTCGGCCTGCAAGATATAGCTCCATCACCTGCTGCATTTCCAAACTTCGAAGACTCCACTTTGTTTGGGAGAGAGTACATAGACCACCTGAAGGCCTGGCTAGTCAGCAGCGGATGTCCCCTCCAGGTTAAGAAAGCCGAACCAGAGCCAACGCGAGAGGAGGAGAAAATGATTCCTCCTACCAAACCCGAAATTCAGGCCAAGGCTCCAAGTAGTCTGAGTGATGGTAAGGAAAACAGCCAAAGTTTCTATTTGTTGTTTTTCGTCTTTGTTTGGTAATGTCTTTTATTTGAGATTTTTTTACACAGAAGCTCTTTAGCCAATTGGAAACAAATCAAGATTTTAGTAGAAAATGCACATTGGCCAATATATGTCTGCCATTCATTCTGTGAATGTGTCTTAGGAATCTGCTGTTTACCATAAAAGTCTTTAGACAGCTGGGTGTGGTGGCACATGCCTGTAATTCAAGCACTTTGGGAGGCCAAGGCGGCACGTTGCTTGAGACCAGGAGTTCGAGACCAGCCTGGCCAACATAGTGAAACCCCATCTCTACTAAAAATACAAAAACTAGCTGGGTGTGGTGGCACGCACCTGAAATCGCAGCTACTCGGGAGGCTGAGGCAGGAGAATCCACTTGGACCTGGGAAGTGGAAGTTTCAGTGAGCTGAGATCATCCCACTGTACTCCAGCCTGGGCGACAGCAAGACTCTGTCTCAGAAAAACAAAAATCTTTGGACATTTTTAGGTCAGATACCTCTCGGGATTTGGTAGAAAGCTGTGGCCATTGCCAGAAAAAATGCTCATCTGTTCATACACAATTTTACCTATATCTTCTGAGGGGTTCATATCATACCTTTCTGCAGCCAAGGTTAAGAACCCTTATTCCTTTTTTTTTTTTTTTTAATCTTTGAAAGAAAGAGGGCTTGACTTTCTTTCTTTGTTTTTGTCTTTTTGAGACATGGTCATGCCCTGTCACCCAGGCTGGTGTGCAGTGGCATGATCATGGCTCACTGCAGCCCCGACCTCCTGGGCTCAAGTGATCCTTCCACCTGTTCCTCCTGAGTAGCTGGGACTATTGGCTTGTACCACTGTGCCTGGCTAACTTTTTTTGTATTTTTTGTAGAGAATCATGTTGCCTAGACTGGTCTCAAACTCCTGAGCTCAAGTGATCTACCTGCCTCAGCCTCCCAAAGTGCTGGGATTATAGGCGTGAGTCACTGCGCCTGGCTTGGAATCCTTGTTCCAACATGTCCCCACAAGGTATTACTAGAAGGGAGAAAAAACACAGAGCATGGTCTCTGAGGAATCCCCAGTCTCCTGAGGGAAGAAAATCACAAAGTCCAGTCACTCTGTTGAGCCAGGGGTGGTAGCACATTGTAATCCTAGCTACTCGGGAGGCTGAGGAGGGAGGATTGCTTGAGACCAGGAGTTCAAGGCTGCAGTGACCTGTGATTGCGTCTGTGAATAGCCACTGCACTCCAGCCTGGGCTAGCATCACCCTGTCACTCAATAAACCAAAACAAAAAAACAGTCACCCTTGTGCTAGAATTAAAGTGACACAGGAGAGGCTCCAGCCCAGCCTGGAGAGTTGTGGAGGTCGTGCTTGAGCTGTATTGAAGGATGTGTAGGGACCAGCCAGGTCATTCCACGTAGTGGATGCACCTTTTCGCCCTACTCACCTTCCTAGACTGGCTAAAGTTGGTGAATTACTTAAGTACACCTGCTAATTAGCAGTTATCATTGGCTTTCTGGGGAGAGGAAAAGGCCAAGGAAGAGAAGTAGAAGTGATAAGCTGTTTGATTTCCCTGTTCCTTCCTCCTAAACTCCCAGAATGGGCTCTCACAGCCCAGACATCCCAGAGATCGCAAGCATACATGGTAACCATGCTGTCTTAACTCTTGTGATAGGGAGAAAGCACTTCTCCCACTGACGTGGTTTTCACCTTCCATTGTCTCCAGCCCAGTGGGGAAGTCTCATTTGTTCCTGACTTTCTTTGCTCTTTCACCACCCTCATGAAGCCCCAACGGCACTAGACACTGGATAGGTCCCACCACATACTGGTGGCCACATCCTACCGCCAGAGACGAATCCTTCCAGAATTAGGCTCAGGGCTGAAAGGACCCTATTCCCCAACCCTTCACAATGTGATGGGATACTGTTTGAAGGAAGAAAAGTCACCCATAACCTAAAGTGGTTGTAACCCACCCACTTACCCTCCCACAGCCTTTGATGTTCCCCATGCTTTCCTGCAGCTGCAGGCGTGCTGGACTGAAAATGCTACCGCCTGCTCTTCTACGTGATTGCCAGAAAGCCCTCTTTGTTTCCACAGCCTTTGCTACATCGTGATATTGACCTAATGTAAATTACCTCACCTTTCCCTTGATGCTGGATTGATGCTGCCTTTTACTAGAGGTTTCTGAAGCCAGACAGACCTGGGTTCACATGTAGTTGGCATCTGGAAGCCTCAGTTCCCTGTCTGGATAGCGGGATAGCTGGCGGCAGGGCCCACATCTCATGAGGCTGCCCCACCGCTGCTCATGTTCCTGTTAGAAATGTTGGAATGGAGCCAGGCATGGTGGCTCACACCTGTAATCCCAACACTTTGAGAGACTGAGGTGGGTGGATCACGAGGTCAGGAGTTCGAGACCAGCCTGGCCAACATGGTGAAACCCCGTCTGTACTAAAAATACAAAAATTAGCTGAATGTGGAGGCACGTGACTAATCCCAGCTACTTGGGAGGCTGAGGCAGGAGAATCGCTTGAATCTGGGAGGCAGAGGTTTCAGTGAGCCGAGATTGTGCCATTGCATTCCAGCCTGGGCAACAGGGTGAGACTCCATCTAAAAAAAAAAAAAAAAAAAGGAAAGAAATGCTGGAATGGGCCAGGTGCAGTGGCTCGTTCCTGTAATCCCAGCACTTTGGGAGACCGAGGCGGAGGTATAACGAGGTCAGGAGATCGAAACCATTCTGGCTAACACAGTGAAACCCCGTTGCTACTAAAAATACAAAAAATTAGTCAGGCGTGGTGGCATGTGCCTGTAGTCCCAGCTACTCGGGAGGCTGAGGCAAGATAATTGCTTGAACCCGGGAGGCAGAGGTTGCAGTGAGCTGAGATCTTGCTACTGCTCCCCAGTCTGGCAGCAGAGCAAGACTCCGTCTCCAAAAAACAAAGAAAAGAAAAGGAAAAAAGAAATGCTGGAATGGGCCAGGCGCAGTGGCTCACACCTGTAATCCCAACACTTTGGGAGGCTGAGGCAGGTGGATCACCTGAGGTCAGGAGTTCAAGACCAGCCTGGCCAACGTGATGAAACCCTGTCTCTACTAAAAATCAAAAATTATCCTGGTGTGGTGGCACACACCTATAATCCCAGCTACTTGGGAGGCTGAGATGCTTGAACTTGGGAAGTGGAGGTTACAGTGAGCTTAGAGCGTGCTACTCCACTCCAGCCTGGGTGATTAGCAAAAGTCCGTCTAGAAAAAAAAAAAAAAAAAGAAATGCTGGAATGACATCTTTGATTGAATGCTTTGGTTATCACTATTACTTTTTTTTTTTTTTTTTTTTTCTGAGACGGAGTCTCGCTTTGTCGCCCAGGCTGGAGTGCAGTGGCTGGATCTCAGCTCACTGCAAGCTCCGCCTCCTGGGTTTAGCCATTCTCCTGCCTCAGCCTCCGGAGTAGCTGGGACTACAGGCGCCCGCCACTTCGCCCGGCTAGTTTTTTGTATTTTTTAGTAGAGACGGGGTTTCACCGTGTTAGCCAGGATGGTCTCGATCTCCTGACCTCGTGATCCGCCCGTCTCGGCCTCCCAAAGTGCTGGGATTACAGGCTTGAGCCACCGCGCCCGGCCACTTTTTTTTTTTTTAATTCTTGAAAGGATACATTCTCAGGAGTAGGATTGCTGGACCAAAGCTGTGTCCCGCTTTCTGACTCTTGCTCATGGTCTTCCTAGCTAAAGATGACCAAATTAAAAGGGGTCCCCAAATTTCATTGCTGACTGTAAACCTCAACATCTTTTATAAAATCACATAAAACTAGTAGTTCTGTAAAAAGAGAGCCATGAAAAAAAAGCAGTTTCAAAGGGGACATACTTGGAATAACATGGCAGTTGAAGGATTGACTCATCATGTGTGAAGAGCTCACACTAGTGTTTAAAATAAGCTCAAAGTTGTAACATGGACACAGGTGGGCACAGGACTGTGCAATCATTTACAGAACAAACTGGAAAACCTTGCTAGTTCAGCAGTGATTTTAACTGAATGGCTGAACCAATAGACCAGTCTGTGCTTTTTTGTTTGTTTGTTTTTGGTTTTGGGACGGAGTTTTGCTCTTGTTGCCCAGGCTGGAGTGCAACGGCGTGATCTCGGCTCACTGCAACCTCCGCCTCCCAGGTTCAAGCAGTTCTCCTGCTTCAGCCTCCCTAGTAGCTGGGATTGTAGTCATGTGCCACCACGCCCAGCTAATTTTGTATTTTTAGTAGGGACAGGGTTTATCCATGTTGGTCAGGCTGGTCTCGAACTTCCAACCTCAGGTGATCCGCCCACCTTGACCTCCCAAAGTGCTGGGATTACAGGCATAAGCCACCACGCCCGGCCATCATTCTGTGCTTTTAAAACTAGCCAATTATTAGGAAATTAAACAATCTTACCATTTGAAGAAACATGTTCTTCTGTGTTGCTGGCAGCATTGTAAATTTAAAGTCATATTGGAGGAAATTCACACTTTAAAAAATATTTTGGGCAGGGCATGGTGGCTCACACCTGTAATCCCAGCACTTTGGGAGGTAGAGGAGGGTGGATCTCTTGAGCCCAAGAATTGGAGACCAGCCTGAGCAAGATGGTGAAGACTCGTCTCTACAAAATTTTTAAAAATTAGCCAGACGTAGTGGCGCATGTCTGTAGTCCCAGCTACTTGGGAGGCTGAGGCCTGAGAATTGCTTGAGCCTAGGAGTTCGAGGCTGCAGTGAACTATCATGGGACCACTGCACTCCAGCCTGGGCGACAGAGTGAGACCCTGTCTCAAAAAAGAAAAGATTTGTTTTTTTTTTTGAAATGGAGTCTCTCTCTGACGCTCAAGCTGGAGTGCAGTGGCGCGATCTCGGCTCACTGCAAGCTCCACCTCCTGGATTCACGCCATTCTCCTGCCTCAACCTCCTGAGTAGCTGGTACTGCAGGCGCCCACCACCATGCCTGGCTAATTTTTTTGTATTTTTTAGTAGAGATGGAGTTTCACCGTGTTAGCCAGGCTGGTCTTGGTCTCCTGACCTCGTGATCCACCCACCTCGGCCTCCCAAAGTGCTGGGATTACAGGCGTGAGCCACCATACCTGGCTAAAATTTGTTTCTTTTACATTCAACAGATATTTTCTGTGAACATGTAATTTGGGACCATTGACCTTTTTTTTTTGTTTTGAGATAGAGTCTCGCTCTATTGCCAGACTGGAGTGCAGTAGCACGATCTTGGCTCACTGCAACCTCTGCCTCCCGGGTTCAAGCAATGCTCCTGCCTCCGCCTCCCAAGTAGCTGAGACTATCTTTTTTTTTTTGTATTTTAGTAGAGACGAGGTTTCACCATATTGCCCAGGCTGGTCTCGAACTCCTGAGCTCAGGCAATCTGCCCGCCTCGGCCTCCCAAAGTGCTAGGATTACAGGTGTGAGCCACCACGCCCAGCTGACCTTTTTTTTTTTAATTGGAGAAAATTTTTTGTGAATTGATATATATATTTTCTGATTACAAAACACAAGTATGATGGGTTTTTTTTTTGGTTTTTTTTTTGTTTGTTTGTTTTTGAGACCGAGTCTCGCTCTGTCGCCAAGGCTGGAGTGCAGTGGCGTGATCTCGGTCACTGCAAGCTCTGCCTCCCGGGTTCAAGCCATTCTCCTGCCTCAGCCTCCCAAGTAGCTGGGACTATAGGCGCCTGCCACCATGCCCGGCTAATTTTTTTTGTATTTTTAGTAGAGACAGGGTTTCACTGTGTTAGCCAGGATGGTCTCGATCTCCTGACCTCGTGATCCGCCCGCCTCAGCCTCCCAAAGTGCTAGGATTACAGGTGTGAGCCACCGCGCCCAGCCGTTTTTTTGTTTTAAAGATAAATCATAAGGAAAATGAAATTCGTGATAATTCTACCCCCTATAACATCTGTTAACATATTTCCTTATAGTCTTTTCCTACGTATCCATATTTATATATTTTTTATTTCCACCTTTATATTGAGAACTATAACCTAGATACCTTTTTTGTGTATTTTAAACTAGATATTTATATTTTCCACTTTAATGTTATGAACACTCAAATTATTAAGTGATACATGAAAAATGATATCAAATTGCAATATGTCTTTCTTTTTGTAGAGTATATAAATAAATTGCTCTGTCCAGTCATTGAAAGCTGTGACTGTTTCTCTCCTAGTGGTTATGCTGTTACATTTTTTAGGAGGAGATTTTCTGTATTGGTTTGTAGATTAAGGTGTTGTTTTCCTCTTTTCAATTCTGGTGTCTTGTGAATGAGGATTTCGGTTGTTGATGCCTGCTTGGGTTCAGTGCTAAGCCCCCAACTACTGTACTGTCCTCGTCTTCCCAGAGCCCACAGTCAGCATGTTTCTCAGAAAAGTTGTTCTGTGTGTTCCAGCTGTCCCCCAGCGAGCAGATCACAAAGTAGTGGGCACCATTGACCAGCTTGTGAAACGTGTCATCGAAGGCAGCCTGTCTCCCAAAGAGAGAACTCTTCTCAAAGAGGACCCTGCTTACTGGTAGGTCTTTAAATGTCCACCCTGTGAATCCCTCTCATGGAGTATATGGCAAAATTTGGGTCACTCTGATGGTGTTGAGAGCAGAGGGTGAAATACTTGAGTAAGTGGTGTTCTCCAGCGAGAAGAGCATGAGGGTGCCTCAGATTTATGTGGGTTCAGCAAGTCCTAGCTCTGTTGCAGAGCAGTGGTAGGCTGGCTGGGTGGTAGCATTCTCTTACCTGTGAATACAGCTCCAACTCCCTGCTTTGCTGTTTTAAGGATGCAATGAGATGTTCATGCAGAGAATACAGAGTAAGGGTAGTAAGATTAGTAATACATCATTGCAGTTGTTTGCAGTTTATTGCTAATATTTGTTAAACTGTGTTTTGCTTAACTGCCTCTTTTTTTTTTTTTTGAGACGGAGTCTCGCTCTGTCGCCCAGGCTGGAGTGCAGTGGCCGGATCTCAGCTCATTGCAAGCTCCGCCTCCCGGGTTTACACCATTCTCCTGCCTCAGCCTCTTGAGTAGCTGGGACTACAGGCGCCCGCTGCCATGCCCGGCTAGTTTTTTTTTTTTTTTTTTTTTTTGTATTTTTTTAGTAGAGATGGGGTTTCACTGTGTTAGCCAGGATGGTCTCGATCTCCTGACCTCGTGATCCGCCCGTCTCGGCCTCCCAAAGTGCTGAGATTACAGGCTTGAGCCACCGCGCCTGGCCTTAACTGCCTCTTTATATGAATAGAACAACTTTTTAAAATTACAGTTTGCATCCTAAATATACTACTTTCTTATTAGAGAAAGTAAAGAACAGGCCAGAGAAAGAGTCTCGCTCTGTCACCCAGGCTGGAGTACAGTGGCGCAATCTTAACTTACTGCAACCTCCGTCTCCTGGGTTCAAGCGATTCTCGTGCCTCAGCCTCCCAAGTAGCTGGGATTACAGGCGCACACCAGCACACCCAGCTAATTTTTGTATTTTTAGTAGAGACGGGGTTTCACCATGTTGGCCAGGTTGGTCTCAAACTCCTGACCTCAGGTGACCCACCTGCCTTGGCTTCCCAAAGTGCTGGGATTACAGGTGTGAGCCACCGCACCAGACCGAGACACCATTTCTTTTTTTTTTTTTTTTTTTAAAAAAAAAGGAGGTGATGATCAGTGCTTTGCTTGTATTTCTGCCTACCTTTCTGGCAGTTTATCATGATACCTGGGAGTGAAACTGCTGGGTTAAAGCTCATGTTAGAGACTTTTGATTTATGTCAGTTTCTCAGCTGCAGCACTTTTTATTTTTAATTTTTTTTGGAACAGAGTCTCGCCCTGTCACCAGGCTGGAGTGCAGTGGGGCTATCTCGGCTCACTGCAACCTGTGTTTCCCGGGTTCAAGCAATTCTTGTGCCTCAGCCTCCCGAGTAACTGGGATTACAGGTGCCCGCCACCACACCCAGCTAATTTTTTGTATTCTAGTAGAGACGGGGTTTCACCATGTTGCCCAAGGTGGTCTTGAACTCCTGAACTCAGGCAATCCGCCCGCCTCGACCTCCCAAAGTGCTGGGATTACAGGCGTGAGCCACTGCGCCCAGCCTCAGCTGCAGCACTGTTGACATTTGAGACTGAATCATTCTGTGTTAGGGTTGGAGCTGTCCTGGACATTGCAGGCTGTTTAGCAGCATCTGTGGTCTCTATCCGTTTGATGTTAGCAGGACCTTCTATCTCACTAGTAACAACCCAGAATACATCCAGACACTGCCTGGTGTCCCATGGCAGGCAGAGCTGCCCCTGATGGAGACCATTGATGTTTATCATCAGATTACTCTCCATAGGTTATGTGTACTAATTGACCCTCTCACTGTTCTCTGTTTTTGTTAGGGACAGGATCTCACTCTGTTGCTCAGGCTGCAGTGCAGGGGCGCTATCACAGCCCACTGCAATCTTGACCTCCTGAGTGTGCCCTTTTTGGTAGTCAGATTATACCCATATTGGACTTGTTATTCTTGCTGTTGTAATTACTAAAGATGCTTGAAAGGCATACATTTCCATATCTTTGGTCCTTCCCATCATGATTTACCCAGGGGAAAGTTGTAACTTGTTGTGTTTTTATTTTTACAAAATTCTTGAGTTTGGATTATTTACATGTATTGAATGAGGTAGGCATGTAACTTAAAAGTTAAAAATTCCCAAATAACCTAATTGTCACAGCATCATTTATTGAATACTTTTTATTTAATAAACACTTGTGCCTTCTGTGCAGTTGGTACTGTTCTAAGCACATTACTGATTTGAGCACTAGCTAGTTGAATCCTCATTAACAATGTTGCAAAGTAGGTCTATTGCTATGCTTATTTTACAGACAAGTAATTTAGAGGCTCCAAGAGCCCTCTTGGCTTGAGGATTCACAGCTAGTAAGAGGCAAAGTTGAGATTCAAATCCAGAGTCTGTGGTCTGAACCAGCGTGCATGCTGAAGGAAGGAAGCTAGATAGCCCCAGATTGACAGATGCAAGCAGATACCAGACCCTTTTGATAAGAAGGCATCCAGACTTAGAAGGCCTAGGGGCACTTTCCAGGTGGTTGATAAGGTTATTAGGCTGGAGGAATAGGAGGCCCTGAGAGAACTGGGGGCTTGTGCCTCTGCCCCATGACCCCTGCACATGGCCCAGGGGTCTCATGACCACTGATAATCAGGCGCGGCAGACAGAAGCCAGAGTCAGGGGTGTGTTTGGATAGAAATAAGCATCAAAGTAAGAACTGATATTTGAGGTAAACCAGTATCATGAAAGAGAATCACCAAACTCAACAAACTTCTGATACTCTAGAAGACAAGAGTTACTATGAGAAAGAGGAGGTGTAGTCTATAAATATGTGTGTGTAACGAATAGTCTCAGGTAATAAGAGTATATTGTATCCATGAAACAGACACTGGTTGCTATGAAAACAGAAAACTGGTTGCTATCCAAGATCCTGTTAAGGATCTTGGAAATGGAAAATAGATTGAAATAAAAATCTCAGCGGTTGGCTGATAGAATAGATCCTGAAGAAGGACAGATTTAGGAGTTGTTCCCAGAGACTTTATCATCCAAAAACTCCTTCACAAGGAATTACCTGGCCAGGTGCGGTGGCTCACGCCTGTAATCCCAACACTTTGGGAGACCGAGGGGGACAGATCACCTGAGGTTGGGAGTTTGAGACCAGCCTGGCCAACATGGTAAAACCCTGTCTCTACTAAAGTTGCAAAAAATTAGCCGGACATGGTGGCAGGCGCCTGTAATCCCAGCTACTTGGGAGACTGAGGCACGAGAATCGCTTGAACCTGGGAGTCAGAGGTTGCAGTGAGCCAAGATCGCACCACTGCACTCCAGCCTGGGTATGACAGAGCAAGACTCTGTCTCAAAAAAAAAAAAGAAGGAATTACCAAGGTACCATAAGAGGAAAGAGTGTGATACAAAAGCACAGCAATAAGTAAAGAAACTGCTAAACTTAGGTTTCTGGTGTGCATGTTTGAATTCTTAAGTCAAAATGCTCCTTGTATGTTGTATTTAACAAAACAGTTCAACGCATAATGAAAAGCCAAATGTTTCTGCTGTGACCTTTTCCCGTGTTCCAGTCCTTGAAGGCAGTTGCTTAGTTCTTCAAACTACTTCTCACGGCTACCTCTGTATCTTTTTTTTTTTTTTTTTTTTTTTTTTTTGAGATGGAGTCTCTGTAGCCCAGGCTGGAGTGCAGTGGCGTGATCTCAGCTCCATGCAAGCTCTGCCCCCCGGGTTCACGCCATTCTTCTGCCTCAGCCTCCTGAGTAGTTGGGGCTACAGGTGCCCGCCACCATGCCCGGCTAATTTTTTTGTATTTTTAGTAGAGACAGGTTTTCATCATGTTAGCCAGGATGGTCTCGATCTCCTGACCTCGTGATCTGCCCACCTCGGCCTCCCAAAGTGCTGGATTACAGGCGTGAGCCACTGCACCTGGCCTACCTCTATATCTCTTAATAAGCCTATGCTGCTTTTTCTTTACTGAACAGTTTTATGCATAACCGTTGACATTCTATGAAGATATGTGTGGATTAATAAGTTTGTTTTTTGTCTGTTTGCTTTTAAGAGACGAGATCTCACTCTATTGCCCAGGCTGGAGCACAGTGGCATGATCATACCTCACTGCAGCCTCAACCTGGGCTTGCAAAATCCCCCTGCCTCAGCCTCCCAAGTAGCTGGAATTACAGGAGCATACCACCACATTCAGCTATTTTTTTATATATATTTATTTATTTATATCTCTCTATATATATTTATTTATATATATATATATATATATATATGGAGCACACCACCACATTCAGCTATTTTATATATATATATATATATATATTTTTTTTTTTTAAAGAAATGGGTTCTTGCTACGTTGTCCAGGCTGGTGTTTAACTCCTGGGCTCAAGCGATCCCCCAGAGCACTGGGGTTATAGGCATGAGCCACCACACTCCAGCCTTGTCATTATTTTTTTGGTTAGCAGAGTGAAAAAGTCAGACCTCTAGGAGGCAGATATAGAATGGCTTCTTATCTCCACCCTCTGAGGACTAGCAGAGATTTGAGACCTTCACCATCACCCTACAAGCATGATTTGTTCCCATTGGAGCCTTGTAGACAGAACTGGCCATTGCCTCTTTGCTGGGGTGACCTGCCTCATATCGTACACTAAGATGTCAGAAGAGGCGGGGCGCGGTGGCTCAAGCCTGTAATCCCAGCACTTTGGGAGGCCGAGGCGGGGCGGATCACGAGGTCAGGAGATCGAGACCATCCTGGCTAACACGGTGAAACCCCGTCTCTACTAAAAATACAAAAACTAGCCGGGCGAGGTGGCGGCGCCTGTAGTCCCAGCTACTCCGGAGGCTGAGGCAGGAGAATGGCGTAAACCCGGGAGCCGGAGCTTGCAGTGAGCTGAGATCCGGCCACTGCACCCAGCCCGGGCTACAGAGCAAGACTCCGTCTCAAAAAAAAAAAAAAAAAACGTAGCAAGAACCCATTTCTTTAAAAAAAAAAAAAAAAAAAAAAAAAGATGTCAGAAGAGCCAGGCGCGGCTGCTCACACCTGTAATCCCACTACTTTGGGAAGCTGAGGCAGGTGGGCCCCATGAAGTCAGGAGTTCGAGACCAGCCTGGCCAACATGATGAAACCCTATCTCTACTAAAAATACAAAGATTAGCTGGGCATAGTGGTGGCTTCCTATAATCCCAGCTACTCAGGAGGCTGAGGCAGGAGAATCACTTGAACCCAGGAGGCGGAGGTTGCAGTAAGATGAGATCACGCCACTGCACTCCAGCCTGGGCAACAATAGCAAAACACCGTCTCAAATCAGTCAATGAGTCAATCAGAAGTATAGACAGACACATCCACTATGGTTTTGCTTCCTTGTTTGGAACACCAAGGGGCAGGCTTCCATCCTTTCCTATGAGAGAGTGCGAAGCATCAAGCCTAGAAAATGATCACAACAGTGCAGGATATAAAGCTGAAGGAATATGTCATACTTTGTTTTCTCTCATCTTCTAAATTGTCCCCTGGGAGTGGGGCAGCCCTGACCATGCTCTCCAGGGAGAGCCCATGAGGTCCTACATGTTCACACACTCAGGAAAACAAGTGGCTAAGAATCCCTCTGGTCTAGCCTCAGCAGGATTGTCCGAGCACCCCAAAGTTAACAAAAAATCTAAATAATTTATGTTTTGGGTGAAATAAAAGAAACTAAAATCCCAGATAATCTAAATATGTGAGGCAAAAGGAGGAGGAGGGAGGTAGGTGTGCAGGCCTTTGTCTTTTTTGACATGAGGATCGAGCTAAAGGGTAATTCTACATATTGATACAAAATAAGAGTTTAGGTATGTGTGTTGATTAGCCGTTAAAGGAACCAAAGTGGGGTCTGTAACTTCATACTACTATAGAGGGAAAGAAGCAAAAACACAGGAATTGGAAAACAGAGAAGGGAAATTGCATAGCAGGTGAATGCTACCAAAAAGAACGGAAGTAGAGAATTGTTCGGGCAAAAAAGACTTTAAGGAGAACAGCACTAGGAGCAAAAGAAGTTCCTCATAAAAGGGAAAGTCATCACGAACATATAAATTGTGAATCTCGGTGCCTGCACTACATAGGTTTGAGCTATGTAAATAAACAACCTTCAGAAATCATTTAGGTCCAGAGCTGGGTGCGGTGGCTTGTGACTGTAATCCCAGCACTTTGGGAGGCCCAGGTGAGCAGATCACCTTAGATCAGGAGTTCAAGACCAGCCTGGCTAACATGGTGAAACCCCGTCTCTAAAATTAATACAAAAATTAGCTGGGTGTGGTGGCGGGTGCCTGTAACCTCAGCTACTTAGGAGGCTGAGGCTGGAGGATCGCTTGAATCCAGGAGGCAGAGGTTGCAGTGATCCGAGATTGCGCCACTGCACTCCAGCCTGAGTGACAGAGCAAGACTCTGTCTCAAAAAAAAAAAAAAAAAAAGTTAAGTCCAAAACCATGATAAGAGGAATTGGATGAATCCAAAACCATGGTAGGAGACATGAATGTTTCTGTGAAATGGGTAGACGATGTAATCCAAATAAGGTTGTGGAAGATTTTATAACACAGCAAATGAGCGTAAACAGAGACAGTCTGCTAATATTTGTTGAGCGGTTTTCATATCACTTGCCTCATAGTGAAAAGCTTATAACGCAGGCCTCACAGCTATATGATGAAGTAGCTACTGCTTATCATCTACCCTGTCTTACAGATGGAGAAACTGAGGCACAGAAAGGTTCTCAGCTAATGAGTGGCTATGCTGAGATTTGAAGCCAGCAGACTGGCTTGTTGAGTGTTCTGTGTTCTTGATGTTATGTTCCACTGGAACTTGGGGAGATGCATTTGTGACTGACGTCCTCGGACTGCACTTGGCATCAGAACCATCCAGGAACAAGGAAAGCCATCAGAGCCATGAGTGACTGGGGCAGTCAGGTTACCTGGCCCTGATTCTGCACTCTGCCCTTGATGAGGAGTTACCTTGCTGGGACTGTGTTTGACTTGAGAACCAGAGCACCCATGTTGGTCAGCATTCTCTTAATTGAGCACTATTGCTTGTTAGGGCATGATCTTGCAAGATGCCACCGTTAGCCCAACAGAGTGCTAGGGCAGCAGTGGAGCCGGTCCTCAGTCTGTCTTCTGAGGTCCAGACAGATCTCAACTGACTAACAGTGTCAGCAGGAGCTTGTGTACGGAGCTGTCTGCCAGGGACATGCCACATCACACAGTGCTGACAACACCTTGCTTCTAGTTGGCTTGTCACTGGTAATCTGGAACCTCATCTAATAACTAATATGTCGCTACTTAATATCAAACAATCTGAAAGCCACCTGAAATACTGCCATACTTACTAAGCAATATTCTTCTTTAATACAAACTGAAATCAAATATTCACAAAAGTCTGTTATGTTTTTTGTGGGGTGGTTATTTATTTATTTATTTTTAAAGAGATGAGGTTTTGCCCACACTGATCTTGAACTCCTGGACTCAAGCAACCCACCAGCCTCCGCCTTCCAAAGTGCTGGGATTACAGGTGTGAGCCACCACGCCCAACTTAAAAGTTTGTTGTGTATGAAATTAGAGAAAAATCACAGCACACCCAGGAAACTCACATGGGCCACATTATGCCAATACAGCAAACTAGAAACCAGCAACAACCAAAATAAAACACGTTTCTGAATAACTTTTGAGTGAAGGATAATCAGAACTGAAATTAGAAGCAATTTAGAAGGAAGTGGCAAGAAAAACATTACACACCAGATGCAGTTATAAAAATACATAAGAGAAAGAGTGACTTCAGGTGAATTTATTAGAACTAAAGAGTAGGCCAGGTGCAGTGGCTCATACCTGTAATCCCAGCACTTTGGGAGGCTGAGGCATGTTGCTACCTTGAGTCCAAGAGTTTGAGATCAACCTAGGCAACATGGTGAAATGTCCTTTCAACCAAAAATACAAAAATTAGCCAGGCGTGGTGGTGCATGCCTGTAGTCCCAGCTACTGGGGAGGCTGAGGTGGGAGGATCACCTGAACCCAGGAGGTCGAAGCTGCAGTGAGCTATAATCAACTCATGAAGCTAGAAGGAACATGATGAAAAAAGTAAAGACACTAGAAGGAGAAGGAATTTTTTTTTTTTAAAGACAGGCTCTTGCTCTGTTACCCAGACTAAAGTGCAGTGGCACAGTCATAGCTCACCACAGCCTCGACTTCCTGGGCTCAAGTGATCCTCCCATCTTAGCCTCCAGAGTAGCTGGGACTATAGGCGTGCACCACCACCTTGGCTAATTTTTTTATTTTGTGGAGATGGGATCTTGTTTTGTTGCCCAGGCTGGTCGTGAACTCCTGGGCTCAAGCGATCCTCCCGCCTCAGCCTCTCCAAGTGCTGGGATTACAGGTGTGAGCCATCACGCCCAGCTGAATATTTTTCTGTGTTAGTATGTGTAACTCAACCTTCTCTTTTCTGTACTGTTCTCATCATCATGACTGGGTCATAAGATTTCACACCTGGGGCACAGGCTCCTTGGTTAATGTTCTCTTGTGGGTCACATCACACTTGCCTTGATGCAGTCAGAAGCTCATTGAGCTCTCATCCTGGCTGGGCCATTAAAAAGGTGTCAATTCTGCCTGCCAGGGTGCTGTGGCTCCAAGGTGACTGGTTTGTATTTCCAGGCCATAATGAGCTGTGAGCTCCCTCATGGCTGCTGCTGATGGAAATCAAGGAGGAACTCGGTTCAAACTCCCGATTGCCCTGCAGTCACTCTTAGCAGGGCAGCTGTTTTGGGCTTAGCTCTGGGTCCTCAGTAGAGCCAGGCAGAGCCTCTGAGACAGCAGAGGACAGTCAGCAGTTGGCCACTTAGAAAAGATTTGTGTTTACAGGAACAATTTGGGACCTGGTGGTGTTTTCATAAATGTCCTGTTATGCCTGTTTTGTTGTGTAGGTTTTTGTCTGATGAAAATAGTCTGGAGTATAAATATTACAAGCTGAAGTTGGCAGAAATGCAGCGGATGAGCCAGAACTTGGGAGGAGCCGACCAGAAGCCGACCTCGGCAGAATGTGCGGTGCGGGCCATGCTGTACGCCCGGGCTGTCCGTAACCTCAAGAAGAAACTGCTTCCGTGGCAGCGGCGGGGGCTCCTCCGTGCTCAAGGGCTCCGGGGCTGGAAGGCAAGGAGAGCGACCACTGGGACCCAGACCCTCCTATCCTCAGGCACCAGGCTGAAACACCACGGCCGGCAGACTCCAGGCCTCTCACAGGCAAAACCATCCCTGCCAGACAGAAATGATGCTGCCAACAAGGACTGCCCGCCAGACCCAGTTGGACCCTCTCCTCAGGACCCCAGCTCAGAAGCCTCAGGTCCATCCCCCAAGCCAGCAGGAGTGGACATCTCCGAAGCACCTCAGACCTCTTCTCCCTGCCCATCTGCTGACAGTGGGTGCTCACTCCTGTCCCCCTCCTCTGGGCCCCAGTCCCTACTCTCCCATCTCCAAGGTCTCTCTAGAATTGTGGGGGGGCTGCAATCTAGGCAAGGCAGTGGATAAAAGCCCTAGGGACCTGGCCAAGACAAGTGCATGTGTTGGCGCTTTCTCTCTTACTTTCTTGAGAGAGCTGCATGCAAGTCCTGCAGCTCCCTCCTCTTCTGAGAGTGGAGCTGGCACGAGGTGCTTCCCCATGCCTCTGTGCTCCCTGACAGGGTTCTGCTGCTGGGGCCGTGGGCAGTGCGTTGCGTGAACTTGGGATCCCGTGTCCTGCTATATCCTGGCCTCTCTTGATAGTGCTCAGGGCTGCCTTGTTCTCTCATTCTGCCTCCTCATCCCCAGGGTCTCCACAGTTCCTGTTCTTGGGGTTCACTGACCTGCACTGATTCCTCTGAATCGACTAACTTCACCCCTTCTGTTTCTTCTGTCACCTTAGCTGTTTCCTTCTCTCTGTACCACAGGCCTGCTCTCTGGCCAGTGCTTCCTACTCAGCACTAAGTAGGAAGGAGAGGGCAAAAAAGTGTCCACAACGGCTGCATTCTCTAGGTGTTGCTGTGTCATGAGCCATTCCAAACTGTGGCTTAAAACAGGAGGCATCAGCCAGGCATGGTGGCTCACTTTGGGAAGCCAAGGCAGGCGGATTGCCTGAGCTCAGGAGTTTGCAACCAGCCTGGGCAACATGGTGAAACCCCATCTCTACTAAAAATACAAAAAATTAGCCAGGCGTAGTGGCGCGTGCCTGTAGTCCCAGCTACTCGGGAGGCTGAGGCAGGAGAATCGCTTGAACCCAGGAGGCGGAGGTTGCAGTGAGCCAAGATCTCACCACTGCACTCCAGCCTGGGCGACAGAGCAAGACTCCATCTCAAAAAAAAAAAAAAAAAAAAAAAATTCCCGGAGGCATCCGGTATTGTGAATTTGCCAGTGGCTGGGTCGTCTGCTGAGCTAGCCCACACATGTGTCTGCGATCAGCAGCAGGTGTCCAGGCTGTCAGCTGAGCTGATGGTATGGCTGGGCCACACGCCTGTCATCCCCCCAGCAGCCAGCCCATGTTTGTTCACCTGGCAATTGGGGTTGGGGCTCCAGGAGAGAGAGCAGAAGTACTGGAGTCCTCCAAGGCCCAGGCTTGGAACTGGCAACAGGCTTTTCCACCACATGCTATAGCCGATTTGAGTCCCAGGACCAGCCCTGATTTGAGGGGGTGATACACAGAGTTCACTTGGTGACAAGGAGTCTGCATGTGGCGAAGGGCAAGGCTACAGGGAGGGGACACGCAGGCCATCTTTATAATCAGCTTCCACAACCCTGCAGTGTTTACACGGGGAGCAGCAGCTCAGGAGTCATGCCTGACAGGTGCTTTATGTTTTGTAGTTGACATGAAGACAATGGAGACTGCAGAGAAACTGGCTAGATTTGTTGCTCAGGTGGGACCAGAGATCGAACAATTCAGCATAGAAAACAGCACCGATAACCCTGACCTGTGGTACGTACCCCCCGGGTCTCATCACACCTTTTTCTTTTTCAAAGAGAGAAAGTCTGAGGATGTTGCTCAGGCTGGATTCAAATTCCTGGGCTCAAGTGATCCTCCTGTTTCAGCCTCTGGAGTAGCTGGGACCACAGGTGTGCTCCACTGCAACTGGCCATTATACCCTTTAGATTTGAGTGTGTTCATGCCACAAACATGTCCTGAGCCAGCCCACAGCCTGGCCAATGCATTCCTACCATGGGGGTTACACCAGGAGTAAATCATGACTTCACTTCAGCTGAGCCAGGGGCCTGAGGGAGAAAGATCTCTTCTAGTCACCTGAGTTTAGGAGTTTGAGAGGAGCCTGACCAACATGCTAAAACCCCATCTCTACTAAAATACAAAAATTAGCCGGACATGGTGGCAAGCACCTGTAATCCCAGCTGCTCAGGAAGCTGAGGCATGAGAATTGCTTAAACCCAGGAGGCAGAGGTTTCAGTGAGCTGAGATTGAGCCACTGCACTCCATCCTGGGCAACAGAGCGAGACTTCATCTCAAAAAAAAAAAAGGCCGGGCGCAGTGTCTCATGTTTGTAATCCCAGCACTTTGGGAGACTGAGGCGGATGGATCATGAGGTCAGGCATTCGAGACCAGCCTTGCCAACATAGTGAAACCCCGTCTCTATACTAAAAATAAAAAAATTAGCCAGGTGTAGTGGCGGGTGTCTGTAATTCCAGCTACTCAGGAGACTGAGGCAGGAGAATTGCTTGAACCTGGGAGGCAGAGGTTGCAGTGAGCCGAGATCGCACCATTGCACTCCAACTTGGGCAACAAGAGTGAAACTCCATCTCAAAAAAAAAAAAAAAAAATCTGTTCTAGGGGACCTGCCCTTCTGGGGCATCAGGAAAAGCCTCCCCAGAGTGACATTTAATCTGCATCCAAAGGCTAAATAGGAGTTGGCCAGGGGAGGGGAGAGAGGTGAGGATTTACTTCTCACTGCATGATAGTAGTGATAGTCAGCCCTTGCCCAGGTCTGGACAGGAGGCACTTCTACATGGGGATAACGTGGCGTGCTCATGCTGGGAGCAGGTACTTTTGTCCTCTCCATTCCTCGGATAGGTGGAGCTCTGCTCAAAAGCACACAGCCCATAGGCAAGAAAACCTGGGCTAGAAGCCAGCTCTGCCCCTGGGGTTTTTCCCTGGGGTGATGTGAGACGCCCCCTCCAGAGAAAGGCTACCAGTGGGAGGCACCCATCTTCCATTACTGAGCCAGGACCCTACTGAGGGGGCTCTCAACTCCTCGTGCTGGTCCCAGCTTGTTGGACAGTCATGCCTTCGTCCAATTAAAAATACAATTGAAGGCCGGGCGCGGTGGCTCAAGCCTGTAATCCCAGCACTTTGGGAGGCCGAGACGGGCGGATCACGAGGTCAGGAGATCGAGACCATCCTGGCTAACCCGGTGAAACCCCGTCTCTACTAAAAAAAAATACAAAAAACTAGCCAGGCGAGGTGGCGGGCGCCTGTAGTCCCAGCTACTCCGGAGGCTGAGGCAGGAGAATGGCGTAAACCCGGGAGGCGGAACTTGCAGTGAGCTGAGATCCGGCCACTGCAGTCCAGCCCGGGCTACAGAGCAAGACTCCGTCTCAAAAAAAAAAAAAAAAAAAAAAAATACAATTGAAAACGTGCATTTCTCAGCACATTTATGGAATTCAGTGGTGACGGAACATACTCTTTCAACTTGTTTGGGACCTGATTGCACGAGCCAAGCCCTATTCCCGTCCGCAGCCTTGGCTTATGACTGGGTCCTGCACTGAGGTACCACCCGCCTTGTGGGGCACCAACCACCTACAGACGGGAGGCCTGACCAGGCTTACAGTCAGGTTCTGCCTTTTACAGACAGTGGTGGCCTTGGGGAGCTGCTGGGCCCTGTAGACCTCAGGGTCAGGCCTGTCCACTATGTATGTGGGATTTCCCCTGGCAGGGTTGGGTAAGGAGGACAGCTCAGTGCAGGGCAGCTGGGGGCATCCCATCAGTCCTTTTTTCTTTTTCTTTTTCTTTTTTTTTCAATGAAAAGTACAGTTTAAAGGAGAATTTTGCATTAGCCTGGGTACTTGGGCTGTACTACTTGTTGGGTTTTGGGTGATTCCTCCCCATCTGTGACAGCCTTTTCTGAGCAGTGTCCTTCAGAGTACTCTGTTCTGTCCTTCCCTGGAGGGAGAGCCCTGGATCCTGACCACGATACTGGGCAGGATGTTGGACGCTATCCAGCCATGCTTGTAAATGGGCCAAGATGACTTTGTGTTTCTTTTGCCTTTAGAAAAATTTTAATTCTAATGTGCTCAAGCTCATTGAGTTAATTCATTTTGTGGGTGTGGTTATGTTATAAAGTTGTCATACAATCTTATTTATTTATTTATTTATTTATTTATTTATTTATTTATTTTTGAGACGGAATTTTATTCTGTCGCCCAGGCTGGAGTGCAGTAGCGCAATCTCAGCTCACTGCAACCTCCGCCTCTCGGGTTCAAGCGATTCTTCTGCCTCAGACTCCCAAGTAGCTGGGATTACAGGTGTCACCCAGCTAATTTTTGTAGTTTTAGTAGAGACAGGGTTTCACCATGTTGGCCAGGCTAGTCTTCAACTCCTGACCTCAGGTGATCCTACTGCCTCAGCCTCCCAAAATGTGCTGGGAGGCATGAGCCACCATGCCCGGCCCAGATTCATTTGTTTCTGCTGATATTTAGTTGTGTGTGTGTTTGTGTGTGTGTGTGTGCGCGCGCACGTGCCTGTGTGTGTTAGCCTGGTATAGTGGCATTTGCCTGTGGTCCCACCTACTTGGGTGGGTGACGTAGGAAGATTTCTTGAACCCAGGAGTTTGAGGCTGCAGTGAGCTGTTATCACACCACTGCACTCTAGCCTGGACAACAGAGTGAGACTCCATCTCTAAAAATGTATAATAATAAATAATTATAAAGCTGTCCAGCTTTTCCAATACCATTCTTTGAAAGACCACCCCTTTTTCGCAGTAGTTTGAGAGGCTACCTTAATCGAATGCTGGGTTTCTGGTCTTTCTATTCTGTTCCTTCGGTCTGTGTGATGGACTACTTTGCTGTTTAACTCTAGAGGCTTTGGGGCATTTTGTAGTGTTTGGTGGGGCTGGAACCCCTTATGAGTCTTGTTCGGGGTTTTCCCAGATACTTTTACATATTATTTTTCTTCATGAACTTTAGAACCATCTTGTCCTGATTCAGAACAGGGTTTTATTGGGCTATATTAATATGCTAATTGGGGGGACTTGGCACATTTATGAGGTTGAGTTGCCTTATGAGGGCCATTTTTCCTTTGGTCCAAGTGGACTTTGGTGCTTTCAGGAGTGTTTTAAGTTTGTCATACCAGCCACAGCTTCATAGCTGTGGTTACAAGTCCAAGTGGCCACCAGACCCCTGAGGCACAGAGAGGCCTCATCTCCACGCCCACATAGCTGGACTGCAGGCCCCAAGTGGGAAGTGCTAGGGGTGAGGAGCCTTCTCTGGGAGCACCTTACAGCTCCATGGTGCACATGTTCCAGCAGTAACTGTGCAGCGCCTCCTGGTGTCTCTCCATGCTTCTCGTATCTGGGAGGAACCAGAGTCAAAATGGGCACATGGAGGCCCAGAGAGGCCAGTGATGTAACCAGAAAGGGTGAGATGGGTCTCAGGCCAGATTTCTATTCCAGCATTTTCCCAGGCCCTGCATACCTTGTTCATCTGCCTCTTTCCCCTGGAAAGTAGTTATGCTCCTTGAATTCTAGCTCCTTATTAAGTTACTAGTACTCTTCAAATTTTCTGTCATTGAGAGGCTGCACCATCAAACTATAGCTGCCGCATAGAGAGCGGTCAGGTTATTCTTTCCCTTGTCCCACCTCCACCTTCCTTGGATCAATCCCAGCAGTTTCAGCAAATAAAAATATTGAGAGATTCCGTCTGGTAACCTAATGTATTTCCTCTGTGCCTCAGGTTTCTACATGACCAAAATAGTTCTGCTTTCAAATTCTATCGAAAGAAAGTGTTTGAACTATGTCCATCAATTTGTTTCACATCATCTCCGCACAACCTTCACACTGGTGGTGGTGACACTGCGGGTTCTCAGGAGAGCCCCGTGGACCTCATGGAAGGGGAAGGAGAGTTTGAAGATGAGCCCCCTCCGCGGGAGGCTGAGCTGGAGAGCCCAGAGGTGATGCCTGAGGAGGAGGAGGAGGACGATGAGGATGGCGGAGAGGAGGCCCCTGCTCCCGGAGGGGTGGGCAAGTCTGAGGGCAGCACCCCTGCCGATGGCCTTCCCAGTGAGGCTGCCGAGGACGACCTGGCTGGAACACCTGCCCTGTCACAGGCCACCTCAGGTACCTGCTTCCCCCGGAAGAGGATCAGCAGCAAGTCGTTGAAGGTTGGCATGATTCCAGCTCCCAAGAGAGTGTGTCTCATCCAGGAGCCAAAAGGTGAGTGCCCGCCTGTCGGCACAGCTGCCTCCAGCACAGTTCTTGGTTGGTGGGCTGTGAGAGTTAGAAGAGACAGTTGGAGACATTTTAATCCTAAAGAGTTTTGTGCACCACTCCAGAATGTGAACCGACACTCATGTTTCCCGGTGGTCTGAAGGCATTGCTCTAAAGACATGTTTCCTTGCTGCCCTGTGGCTGCTGGCACTCTGCTTGCTGCTGGACATTTCCCTGATTGCCTGGATTCAGGTCGGGGCTTCCCCACTTGTGGAGGGGTGGGCCTGGGTCATCTCAGCTGTTTTCCTGCCTGTGACTTTATCAGCTGGGGGCCCTTCTGAGCTCCTGGAAGGCCCAGGGTGCTGATAAGCTGCTTCATGTCATGACAGTGAGATGGGAACAGAGCAAGGGTGGTCCCAGGCAGTGGTCAGTGGGACCTGCCTTGGCCATGGGAGGCCATCTCCTGCTCTCCTGTGGGGAGGTTCCAGGTTCTTGAGGTATAATTTACCAGCAGTGAAACACACCCTTTCCAGGTGGACCATTTAAGTTTTGTTGACTGTGCAGAGGCGAGACCCCACCAATACAGCAGAGCTGAAGCCTGTCCCCAGAACAGGTCTCTTGTCCCATTGCAGTCCCCTGCCCCATTCAGCCCCAGCAACCACTGACTGTTTTCCGAGACCCAGGTATTCTACCTTTCCTAGTCTATCAGTACATGGAATTGCATCGCATGTGGCCTTTTGGTGGGCAGGCCGTGGCCCAGATGACTCCTGTGCCCCCCATGCCCTCCAAGCTATCTCCCTACAGTCAGGCCTGGACCATGCTTTCACATGGGACTTCTGCTGCAAAACCTATATGTGAAGTTGTAGTGAATGGTGCCCCATTGTGGGACTGTGTTAAACAGTCACCGGTGTGTTCTACATCATTCAGACAGTCACATTTACAGGTGACAGTGGCCTTATGGTTTTGCCTGCTTTGGAATAGTCCTCATGTTTTGTGTTTGAAAACCTTGGTGTTGCAGTGAAATGCTAACCATTCTACTATAACCCTTACCATTGTTCAAAACTTCAAAACTTCTCATGGGCCAGGCGCAGTGACTCGTGCATATAATCCCAGCTTAGCGGGGCTGAGGCAGGAGTATTGCTTGAGCCCGGGAGTTTGAGACCAGCCTGGGCAAGATGGCCAGACCTCATCTTTACAAGAAAAAAAAAATTTAATGTAAAAAAATGAAGTAAATAATTAAACTTGTCATGGATGGCGGGTAGTGTATCAGAGTGCTTGTTATGTATGCTTTTCTTGGTGGAGTTTTTTATTTCTGTTTTAGAAGCTCTCAGTTCTTTTGGTAGTTGATGAGATAAAACCAGACCTGCGCCGGGTGTACTGACTCACGCCTGTAATCCTAGCAATTTGGGAGACCGAGGCGGGAGTTTGAGACCAGCCTGACCAACATGGAGATACCCCATTTCTACTAAAAATACTGAATTAGCCAGGCGTGGTGGTTCATGCTTGTAATCCCAGCTACTCGGGAGGCTAACGCAGGAGAATCTCTTGAACCTGGGAGGTGAAGGTTGGCATGAGCTGAGATCATGCCACTGCACTCCAGCCTAGGCAACAAGAGCAAAACTCCATCTCAAAAAAAAAAAAACAGACTTGCTAATCTCCCTTTCATAAAAAATAAAATAAAATAATACGATTTGGTCCTCTATATGAGAAGCATGGTTGTTTTTTACTAGAAAGTTTTAGGCAGACTTTAATTCTTTTTTTTTGAGATGGAGTCTTGCTCTTGTTGTCCAGGCTGGAGTGCAGTGGCGCAATCTCGGCTCACTGCAACCTCTGCCTCCCGAGTTCCAGTTATTCTCCTGCCGCAGCCTCCTGAGTAGCTGGGATTACAGGAGCTCGCCACCATGCCTGGCTAATTTTTATACTTTTAGTAGAGACGGGGTTTCGCCATGTTGACCATGCTGGTCTCGAACTCCTGACCTCAGGTGATCTACCCGCCTCGGCCTCCCAAAGCGATGGGATTACAGGCATGAGCCACTGTGCCTGGCCCAGACTTTAATTATTTCCCAGTGAATTAGCTACAGATAAACTAGGAGGGCATAGTATCACAAATAGTTGGTACACAAATATTTCTGTAGTCATGGAAAATAATCCATGTATTGGATCCTTTGTTATAAATGTGGGGACTCTTAGGTTTGAATAGACTTTCCAAAAGTGAGGCACCCCTCAAGTGAACCCTTCACTATGGCCCAAGCTGCCTTCCCTGAGTGTGTCCCGCCTCTGCTCACTCCAGGGGTCATACGTGTTCATTCCTGAGAAGAGCTGGGGCACAGCTGGGGCTTAGGCCCATGCAGGGCCTAAGACACCTTCTGTCATCAGAGAACTGTTAGCCAAAATAGACTGCAAGACCTTCAGTCTCTAAGTAATGTAGGGAAAGCACGTGTATGTATGTGTATGTGTCTCTTTCTTTTGTCTTCTAGTCCATGAACCAGTTCGAATTGCCTATGACAGGCCTCGGGGTCGTCCCATGTCCAAAAAGAAGGTGAGCTTAATCATTTGTAGTCCTTACTCAAAGTATAGTTGGTTAGAATTTGTTGGAGTTCCAATGGAAGCTGCAGCTTGTGGTTAAGCTATGCTCACATTTCAAACTGAGGTATTAACGTGTAAAACACAAGAGACTTTTCTCTTAGGAGGACTTTTGAAAACTGTTTTGCCTTTGTCCAAAGCATAGACTAGTGATTCATCTGTGTAATGGATAGTTGAGATCCCTGTAATGGATGCGGTGGGATTTGAGAGAGAAGCGAGATAGTGTCTTGGCCCTGTAAGAAGTTCAAGCTAGGCCAGGTGTGGTGGCTCACGCCTGTAATCCCAGAACTTTGGGTGGCAGGGGCAGGCAGATCACAAGGTCAGGAGATCGAGACCATCTAGGCTAACACGGTGAAACCCCATCTGTACTAAAAATACAAAAAATTAGCTGGGCGTGGTGGCAGGCGCCTGTACTCCCAGCCACTCGGGAAGCTGAGGCAGAAGAATGGTGTGAACCTGGGAGGCAGAGCTTGCAGCGAGCCGAGATCATGCCACTGCACTCCAGCCTGGGCGGCAGAGCGAGACTGTATCTCAAAAAAAAACCAAAAAAAGAAAAAGAAACAAAAAGTTCACGCTAAGGCCTATTGGGTGGTTTACGCCTGTGATCCCAGCAGTTTGGGAGGCCGATATGGGCAGATTGCTTGAGCCCAAGAGTTTAAGACCAGCCTGGGCAACAGGCAAAACCCTGTCTCTGCAAAAAATACAAAAATTAGTTGGGCATGGTGGCGCATGCCTGTAGTCCCAGCTACTCTGGTGGCTGAGGTGGAAGGATAATTTGGACCTGAGAGTTCGAGGCTGCAGTGAGCTGATTGCACCATTGCACCCCAGCTTGGGCAACAGAGTGAGACCCTGTCTCAAAAAAAAAAAAAAAAAAGTTCAAGTTATCCAAGCACACTGATTCACGCCTGTAATCCCAGTGCTTTGGGAGGCCAAGACTAGGGGATCACTTGAGTCCAGGAGTTTGAGGCCAGCCTGGGCAACATAGTAAGATCTGTGTCTCCTCCTGGTCTCCTTAAAAAATAAAACATAAAAACGTTCAGGCTTAGTAGACTGGAAGTGTGGTGAAGAGAGTGCACTAATCTGCTAGTAAACAGAGCATGGTGTGTGCCGTCAGGACCTCCTACGTGCCAGATCCTGATTGTCCACCTGGAGGCAGCAGCGAGCAGGGCCAACAGTGAAAGAGAAATGGATGAGGTGGTCCTGGGGATGCTGTGGGCAAAGAGAAGCAGGTCAAGGAGAGGGAGAATAAGGTGGGATCTAGGGGATGCCGCTGAATTGGGAAAGCCAAGGGAGGTCTGTCTTGCAGATTATGTTGGCACAAGCCTGGAGGAGCTGAGGAGAAACAGTGTGGAGATCTGAGAAGGGCACAGCCTCAGCAGAGAGTCTGGGGCAGCAAGAGACCTTTGTGGCAGCAGAGGAATCGGGGGGTGGTCACACACGACCTCAACAGATGTTAATGCTGTGGCCCTTTCTCAGGGAAGGGAGGGTCCCTCCAGGACCTGTGGCGGACGTGGCCACTAGGGTGGAGAGCAGCCTGTGGGTGGGAAGCAGGAGGAGGCTCAAACTTAAGACAGTTGGACCAGGGCATGAGGAGCAACGAGAAGGGGTGAAGATGGAGTGGGTGACACCTGATTGTGGGCTGGGTGTGCAAAAGCCAGGAGTTCAGGTGACCCCAGGGTAGTCAGCTTGGGCAGAAGAGGGACAGAACTACCATTCACTGACCTGGAGGCAGGTTATAGAAAGGGGGCAGATACACTCCAGATGGCCTGGGGGACACAGTGCTGGGGGCAGGCAGGGTCACCTGGGACACATGTGGAGAGACTGCACCGGTCCTTCATGGTCAGGGAGGAGGGTGGGGAGCCAGGCAAGGTCGCTCTGCTGGTGTCAGGCAATGCCATGTTGCTTCCAACCCCTTCCGAGTGACCTAGGTCAGTCTGACCCCAACTGTGGCAGGAAGGAGGAACCTTCCCGAATCCAGAGCTCATGGTCCTGACTGATGTGCCAGGTTTTAGGCTGAGCTGGCATCTGGTGTCTGTTTGTGCGGCCTGGGTAAGGGCACGGCCACATGAGGGCACAGCAGGGCCTTAGTGTCAGGCACAGCTGTATTCTAGCCCAGCCCTGCCACCGAGTAGTTTTGTAACCTTGGCATGTAACCCCCGAGCCACCGGTTTGTCTGTAAAATGGGACGACCATACCTACCCAGCAGGTAGGAGGTACGGTGAGGATTAAACTGGACGAGGTTCCTGGTGGGTGTCCTGCACATGCTGCTCTCTCCTTGGGACTCTGCACCTGTCCTCCTTTCTGCCAGTGACTGCAAATGGAAGGGAGGCCGTGGTGGCTGCAGCTCTCCTCTGCACACGTCCGCCTCGCCCGCAGGGCTTGGCTTTCCTCCAGCTGTCCAGGAAACTGCCATCACGATTGTTGAACACAGATTTGAACATTCCCGAAGAAACTTCCAGGCTGAGCTGACCCCTCATGCGCTGCACCTCCAAGCAGCTATCCTGAAAGGGAAAAGAGTGCAAACCTACCATTTGGGGACCCCTGTGTCCCGCCATGACCAGCATTTCCCCTTCCTTCCCTACCCGTCACCCCAGGGCCCAGGTCGTGCGCAGTTCCCAGGAGGGCCTGACGGATGCCCTGTTTCTCATCTCATCCGGTGGGTTCTGTCACCTCTTTTCCCCAGGCCACTTTCTCATGGCAAGGGGCCCCCCAGTATAGCAGGTCCTGTGTGGTGTCCCCTGGCTTGCAGAGGTGTCTCTTCACTGTTAGTGCCCCTCTTCCTGTCCCAGCCCATAGCATAGCTCCTCCCTTCATACCTTCCCTCCTTAACTGCCCTGCAGAGAAACTTATTCCCACACCACCTCACCAAGACCACCTCATGCCATTATGGAGGAGCCGCCTGCATCCAGTAACTCACACATCCACACATACAAGATACACACACGTGGACGCATATGCACACACGCACATGCGTACACACACACAGCTACTTCATATAATACCCTCGGAGATGCGTCTGAAGAGAACAAAGGGAATTTCCCTCCGCCTTTGAAGGTCCAAATCTAAGCCTGTTGAAATGAACTGACAATAGGAAGATTAACAGGATAAAAAATGGTATGCAATCCAGGTGCACCTGTAATCCCTGGACTTTGGAAGGCCAAGGCAGGAGGATCACTTGAGCCCGGGAGTTCAGGACTGCAGTGAGCCATGATGGAACCACTGCACTCCAGCCTGGGTGACAGAGCAAGATCCTGCCTCAAAACAAAAAAGTTATACATATTTATTCATGTGCATAAGCACAGGAGCCATATAAAACATGAAAACTCAAAGAAGGGCCAGGTGGTTGAAGCTAAATACCTTTTCACAGGGGAGAGGGCAGTTGGGAGGCTGTAGGTAACTTTAGAGGGGAAGCAGAAGATTTTAGGAGAGATGAATGGAGGCAGGCATCATCTTGTGAATGATCCTCACTGAGAATTGAATGGGACTAGAGAACAGCCAATGGTTTGGGCTCTAGGTGTGTTGTTTAACATTCCATCATTTCAACTCTGGTTAATGACATTTCAGGGAAGGGATACAAGGCCCTTCTGTTCTTCTTGGGCAGGTCCAGTTTCTAGGTAGATAGGGAACTTGAAGAGAACAGCTTCCTCCTGTGCTTTGGGAGGGACGGAGACAGGAGGGAGGTCAGAGGGACCTTGAGGCTGTTGCTTTAGTCCCACCTGTCAAAGTGCCATAATTTGGGGTATACGTTTCTTTTTTTCTTTTTTTTTTGAAACGGAGTCTCCCTTTGTTGCCAAGGCTGGAATGCAATGGCACAATCTCAGCTCACTGCAACCGCTGCCTCCCAGATTCAAGGCATTTTCCTGCCTCAGCCTCCTGAGTAGCTGGGATTACAGGCGTGCACTACCACACCGGGCTAATTTTTGTATTTTTAGTAGAGATGGGGTTTCACCATATGGGTCAGGCTGGTCTCAAACTCTTGACGTCGTGATCCACGCACCTCGGCCTCCCAAAGTGCTGGGACTACAGGCGTGAGCCACCACGCCCAGCCTTGGGGTATCCGTTTCTGATCCCCTACGTCTTGCTGCCTGTTGAGTTTTCGGCACCTCTCCAGGTTGTTTTGTCCCTTTCTAGGGTGAGAACACTGAGGCCCCAGGAGCTCCAGGGGCCCAGGCCTTCCTTATGGGAGCAGTTGCTCTCTTCTCCCTCCTGACCTGAGGCCCTGCACTGTCCCTTCTCCCTTCCCTCTCCCAACCCCTGCCTCCACCAGGCTTAGCCTTTTCTGCCTTGTCTCCAAGCTCCTTTGTCTCTGGAGTGCCTCCCCATGCACCCCTAAGGTTAGGGAAGCTGATTCCTGGGCACCTCAATGCAGATGGCAAGGGGGGATTTGTATTTTGGTTGAATTGTACCTCGTGAGGCCTGCATGACATGATGGGGCAGGTCGCTAAGCTGATGAGGGCTGACTGCCCAAGGACCTGAGCTCACAGCACTCAGCACGCCCTTCTCTCCCTGCTTCCCATGCCCAGGGTCATCTAACCCTCTCCCAGCCACTCCCACCTGTCCCCTGCTCAGACCCCCAGCACCAGCCTCCATGATCCTCCTCAGCACCTTCCTCCCTCCCTCTCAAGAGTACATGAACCCTCGCAGCCTCTCACGTAGTTCAGTAAATGCCTTAAAGAAATACATCAGCCAGGCGCAGTGGCTCATGCCTGTAATCCTAGCACTTTGTGAGGCTGAGGCGGGCAGATCAGCCAAGGTCAGGAGTTCGATCAAGACCAGTGTGGCTAACATGGCGAAACCCCATCTCTACTAAAAGTACAAAAATAGTCGGGCGTGGTGGCACACGCCTGTAATCTCAGCTACTCAGGAGGCTGAGGCAGGAGAATCACTTGAACTCAGAAGGCGGAGGTTACGGTGAGTTGAGATTGCATCCCTGCACTCCAGCCAGGGCACCAGAGCAAGACTCCATCTTTAAAAAGAAAAAAGGCGGGGCGCGGTGGCTCACGCCTGTAATCCCAGCACTTTGGGAGGCCGAGGCAGGTGGATCATGAGGTCAGGAGATCGAGACCATCCTGGCTAACACGGTGAAACCCCGTCTCTACTAAAAATACAAAAAAAGTAGCCAGGCATGGTGGCAGGTGCCTGTAGTCCCAGCTACTCGGGAGGCTGAGGCAGGAGAATGATGTGAACCTGGGAGGCGGAGCTTGCAGTGAGCCGAGATTGCGCCACTGCACTCCAGCCTGGGCGACAGAGCGAGACTCCGTCCCAAAAAAAAAAAGAAAGAAAGAAAGAAAATAATAATAATAAATAATAATAATAATAAAAGCTGGGTGCAGTGGCACATACCTGTAGTTCCAGTTAATGGGGAGACTGAGGTGGGAGAATCACTTAAAACCGGGAATTTGAGACCAGCCTGGGCAACATAGCAAGACTCTATATTTTAAAAAAACACAGACAAGTTTTGTTTTTTGTTTTTTTTAGACAGAGTCTTATTCTGTTGCCCAGGCTGGAATGCAGTGGTGCAATCTCGGCTCACTGCAACCTCCACCTCCCAGGTTCAAGTGATTCTCGTGCCTCCACCTCCCAAATAGCTGGGATTACAGATGCCCGCCACCACGCCTGGCTAATTTTTATATTTTAGTAGAGACAGGGTTTTGCCAGGTTGGCCAGGCTGGTCTCGAACTCCTGACCTCAAGTGATCCAACCCACCTTGGCCTTCCAAAGTGCTGAGATTAAAGGCATGAGCCACCGCACCCAGCCCACCCACACAAGTTTGTGAAGAGCCAAGGAATACACGGCAAGGTCTTGGACTGCCCAGCTAAGCTCTCTCACAGCAGTGTGTCATGAATATTCATGAGTGAATAGAAATTCCTTCTGCTAGATCCCTGCAGGCTCCTCCTCCAGAGGCCCCAGGGCCCTGTCTGTCCCCAGATCTCCATCTAATGGCCCAGAGAATGCTGTACTTCCCCACCACCCACAGGACCAATCACAGCTGTACTAGCTCTCAGTGAGGTCTGCTCTGAGCTAGACCTCACACAGACTCCAGTGTCCAAGTAGAACTGAGTCCCTAGGACAGACAGACAAGGCAGTCAGGGATTGAATGAAGCACTGAGGGAGGGGTATGTTGGGGTGGTTCAGGGAGGGTACTGCCAGCCAGTTCTCACCCACCGTCTGGCCCCCATTCTGCCTCCAGGCCTATGCCCTGGTGCCCCCCACTCTTCCCTGGGCTGCGCCCTGTGGTCGTCACAGGGCCACCCTTCTTTATCCAGGGCTCCACTGAGGGCCATCCTACTGACTCCTTGACCCCGGGACTGGCCATTCCCTTACCCAGTTTTCCTCACAGTCTTGGCACCAGGGTTATAGTGGTGGCTGAGAGGCAGGACTGACCTCAGGCCAGTAACCTCTGACTTAGAAGTTCCATCCCACCCAGGGATGTTGCAGAGAACTGGGAAAGTGACTGGAGGTTGAGCCTGAGCATCTGGAGAGTCAGGAGAGCATTTAGGGGTGAGGGGCTCCAGGCACTGCCTAGGACAGACCCTTGATCCAGGCACCTCCCTGTGGCCCACATGTCTGGACTCCTCTCTCCTCAGAAACCCAAGGACTTGGACTTCGCCCAGCAGAAGCTGACCGATAAGAACCTGGGCTTCCAGATGCTGCAGAAGATGGGCTGGAAGGAGGGCCATGGCCTGGGCTCCCTCGGAAAGGGCATCCGGGAGCCTGTCAGCGTGTACGCAGCAGGCAGCCTGGGGTGGGAGTGGGTGGGGCCTCAGTCCTTCCACCTGCAGCCTGACCTTGGCTCCCTCACGCCCAAGATGACTTACAGCTGGCAGTTGATTTTTGTTTTTTAAACAAAAGGCATCTTCAGATGAGAAGCTGATCATTTACATATGCAGGTGTTTACAGGGCTCCTTTCTGTCCTGCTGTAGATTTTTTAACCAGCTTGTTGGCACTGGTCGTTTTGTCCTCATTTGTTATCATCATAAAAGCTAAGTGGTATTTCTGTGTAGTTTTGGCCTGGAACCACTTTCCCATTCCCGGGAACCCATAGCCGGGCCAGCCAGGGTCCCGAACACAGGCCCAAAGTTTATTAAACCCCAATCGTAACATCCAGCAGGCATTTCATTTAATACTGAGCTTAGTGCCTGCTGGGTAAGGCATTCCAAGGTAACCAGGGCCCTCTGGGCACCCCCTCAAAAGCCAGCTCTTCTTCGAGGGTGAGTACTCCTTGTTTCCACTGTGAGTCGTGTCTTGATTTTCCCTCTTTGATGTCTCAGTGTGTGTCCCAAACACCTGCATCTCATGGACTGTTTGTGCCCATGCCCAGTTCCTGGCATGCCAGGCCCTGGGCTCAGGTGCACAACTGACTCTCTTTTTCACTCCTTAGGGGAACCCCCTCGGAAGGGGAAGGGTTGGGTGCTGACGGGCAGGAGCACAAAGAAGACACATTTGATGTGTTCCGGCAGAGGATGATGCAGATGTACAGACACAAGCGGGCCAACAAATAGGTATGTTTACGGGCCAGTGCATAAGGCCCTCCGCCCTCACCGGCGTGCTGGTATGCAGAGAAATTCCCCCAACAAAGTTGATATTCCCTGTTCCCCCAGAAATGCCACACACACAAAAATCACAAAATTCTGTGAGGGAAACAAAAGGGTCTCTGGATGCGGATATGCCCCATTCTTACATTCCAGGTTTGCTGAAGGAGCAAACCTCATGTTGGCCAAGGGCAGCTGCACGTGGCCTGCCTGGTGCCCTGGCTGTGAGCCCCTCGAAGCCTCTAGGCCAGGCTCCGTGGATGTGCGCGTGAAAATAGGCCACGCCTGTCTCTTCTCTTGCTCAAGTTTTCTCTCACAGATGAGGGCCACCTACCACATAACATGACCAGCAAACGGACTGTTCCTAGTCCAGAGGGCCTTGCCATCATGCAAGTGGAAGGGCGACTGTGACAGCCACCGCTACAGAGGGTGGCAGTTAGCTGTGTCCCTTTGTGAGGGTCTTCAAATCCTTTTCCTTCTGCAGGGCCTTGGGCCTGTAAATATCCTCATCTTTCTACTTTTTTTTTTTTTAAGTTGTCCCTCTCACCTAATTTCCAACTCAGTTTTGAACAAAATCGTTCTCTTCCTGAATAGATCAAAACCACTGATGAGAAAGATAAGCCTTGAAGCAGCAATTGCCCTTAAAACATCATCCCTGCCCTGGATCGGCCTGGAGCCAGTGCCCAAGTACGGTTTGGTGTGTACATGAAAACAAACGTCTCTGCAGTCTCTGGGGCGGAGGTTTCGCTGGCATTTCTTTCTCTCAAAGAAAAAACATGCACCATTTTCAATGTGCTTTTGCCTCTCCTCTCTGTTCACATGCTTTTAGCAGCAAGTCCCCTCCAAATCTGTCTTGGTTCCCCTTCAGAAGGTGGCGCTGCCCCCGAAAGGCACCTCAGCCTGTGAGTGCTGAGGAACCAGCTCCTCTGGCTGGTTTTCCAGTCGGACTGGCCATTGCTCTCCAGAAGTGCTCTGTTAGCAAACGTGATGTGGAAACGATCACAGATGGTGTTTTCTCGTTGTTCTCCAGAATTTATACGGGGGAGACAAATCGGTAATTACCAAGTCTGCGCTCGGGTACCAAAGCTCTGAAGCTCTCTGAACAGTTGCCATACTTGAGTTGATGAATGTGTTATTCATGATGTCTCATCTCTTCATTGCATCTTGAGAGACTTAATAAAATTTTAGCAACAGTACAGAATAGCTCTATCAGGTGGGGAGTAATCATTAAACAGATTAAATCGGCCCCAGATTTACATGTCTCTTTAGAATCCACAGTGTAAGCAAACTACAGTTACAAAAGGATGGGGGTTGTAAACTCTCTGAGACTCTGCACTTTTCGCACGTGTAGCATCGTCAAGTGCTGTCTTATTACAGGCTTTGTAAGGAGAGGCAGGCTCCCCCTGGGGTGGGCTCTGCAGCTGCTCTATTTCCAGGCGTGTGATCGCTGCCACTCTACAGATTCCCCAGCAGTCTGCTGTGTGTAACTCCACTCAGTTCTCCACTCATTCTTCCTCGTGAAGCAGGAGCATTAAAGTTTTAAGTATGGGCAAAAATCTGGAAAACTTAGGATCCTCCTCACACCCTGGGATTAGGGGACACAGCAGTGGCTAGGGCATCAGCCCCAGAACTGAGTGGGAAATGCCACTTGTATTGGCTGTAAAGAAATCCTGGCTTTGGGCTGGGCATAGTGGCTCAAGCCTGTAATCCCAGCACTTTGGGAGGCTGAGGCGGGTGGATCACCTGAGGTCAGGAGTTTGAGACCAGCCTGGCCAACATGGTAAAACCCCATCTATACTAAAAATACAAAAAAAAAAATTAGCCAGGCGTGGTAGCAGGCACTTGTAATCCCAGCTACTCAGGAGGCTGAGGCAAGATAATCACTTGAACCTGGGAGGCGGGGGTTGCTGTGAGCTGAGATCATGCCACTGCACTCCAGTCTGGGCAACAGAGCAAGACTCCATCTCAAAAAAAAAAAAAAAAATGCTGGGCGCGGTGGCTCACGCCTGTAATTTCAGCACTTTGGGAGGCCTAGGCAGGTGGATCACGAGGTCAAGAGATCAAGACCATCCTGGCCAACATGGTGAAACCCCATCTCTACTGAAAATGCAAAAAATTAGCTGGGTGTGGTGGCAGGTGCCTGTAGTCCCAACTACTCAGGAGGCTGAGGCAAGAGAATCACTTGAACCGGGGAGGCAGAGGTTGCAGTGAGCCGAGATTATGCCACTTCACTCCAGCCTGGCAGCAGAGCGAGACTCTGTCTCAAAAAAAAAAAAAAAGAAAAGATATCCTGGCTTTCTTTAAGCCACAGACTTCCTAGGCTGTGGTCCGAGCTCCTTGTCTGCCTGGTCCCTGTCACCTTGCAGTGCCACCACCCCCAGGGGCTCTGCTTGCTTCCAGTGGCTTCTGTAGCTTTGGCAACTGGCAGATCTTTATGGCAGTAGAGGTGCCAGCATGGAGGATGGGGCTTGGGTTTATTACGCAACCCTCGAACAAACCAGCCTGTGGGGGCCTGGAGTAGAGCTGGTTTTGGGGAACCACAGGTGCGGGGGGTTCATCTTCTCCTTTCTCCTTCTCCTTTCCTGACTCCTCCGACAGCTTCCATGTTGGCCGTGGGTCAGGTGAATGGATGGAGCTCCGAGCGGGGCTCGGCCCGCTGGCCCGAGCGAGGCACACACACCTACAGCGTGGATCAAGCTCGCTCTCTCCAGCATCGCCCTGACCATTCCATATGCTTTGTCCTAGCATGTTAATTCTTGACTTTCTCCACTTCATTTTACTAAAAAGTTAAATGCTTTAGGAATTTGTGGTGTGTGGCCACTGACCACCCCCCACCTCCTGCCGCTCCTCCAAGTTTGAGCTGAGATGGTTCTGTGAGTCCTTGGCAGGGGTCAGAGGGCACACCTCCTTGAACCTAGAAAGTCCCTACACTCTCAGAGGACGCCTCTCCTGTGGATTCAGCGCTGGGGCAGTGAAGGTGTCGGGAGCCAGCAGAGCATGGTGCGTGCTGCCAGCTGCCGGCCGGCCGGGATAGAGGAGATGCCACTGGCCCTCCGTGCCCCCAGCCCCTCCCTCTTAATCGAGGCTGCCCTTGCTCTCTGCAGAGGCCACTCTGCAGGATCCTCATGTCGCGCGTGACGTGTGGTGGCACAGCCGTGTCAAAGTCACAGTGTCTTTTCTGTCGTTCTAGTTCCAGGGTCACCCCCGAGAGGACAACAGGCATCTGGAAGTGCTCTCTCGCCCCTCTGGGTGCTTACTGTCTCTGGCTTGTTTCCATCACTGGAAATCACTTAGAGAATTGTAGTGTTTTTGGTCCTTGATAAAGCCTAGAAGACATTTGTGATGTTATAAAATGGAAGTTTTGTTTTGTTTCTGTTTTTTAAGATCTAAGAAGTTGTGAATGTTGTTAATCATTTAGCCGTTGCAATAAATGTAGAGGAAATGCAGTGTGCCAGGGTCTCCATGACTGTGTTTTTAAAATCAGATCAGTCACCAGTGCACGCAGATGGGAGTGCAGTGTAGAACCAGATGACGGCTGCCTCCCAGTACGTGCCCTCCACCGGCGTGGTGCTCCTCCCTCGGGCCCCTCCTAACTGGCTCGCCCCACCTGAGGGACCTTGTGTCACTGTCACCAGGAAAGCCTGGAAGATGCCAGAGAGCAGGAAGTGACCAAGCACCGGAGGGAGGGTGATTGGCACCGCCGTATACAGAAGCTGCCTTTGAGGGGTATCAGGGAAGTGGGAGCCATGCCCCTGCTGCCTACGACTCACCTGTGGCCACAGGGCTTTGCCCCATCATCCCAGGGCTGGATGGGACGGCAGTTCCAGCTACCAGAGTAAAACCATGGCCTGCCTGGGCCTCCCTCTGACTGAGGAGCTGCCTCTCTGTCATCTTCATACTCCCTGCTGTCCCTGGGTGCTACCAGCCTGCCATGGTTCTCTGCCAACAGCCCCTTGGCCCTCCAGGTGAGGAGGGGCGTGCAGAGGGCACAGCAGGGCCCAAGCCAGCACCCAGGGGATCTGCAGGGGCCTCCGCCTGACCAAGGTGAGGAGGGGAGGAGCCAGACTGCACAGAGGGGGAAGGTGCTGTGCCCAGGGCAGGTGATGCTCATGTAGGAAGGTCCCTGTGGGCAGCTTAGCGGGAGCCTTGAGACAAAGCCCTTAGGAAGCTGAGGCAAGACCTCCAACCTCACTTCTGCTGTGCCCCGGGGGAAGCTGTTTCCAGCCGACACCCTCACCCTGCCTTCATCTTAGCGATGTCTAACCACTGGGTTCAGTGGCACTCCCCGAGAAAGGCCAGAGCCTGCAGGGAAAATGTGGGGCTCACCTGCAGGGGGTGAGCAACTGCCAGGAATTTCTCTTCCGTAGCGGAACCCTTCTTCCCCTAGCTCCTCTTAATACTGCCCTGAGGCCGGTCAGGGTGTTAGGAGACAGGAAAAGGGGTGGCCTCCAACCCAGGATGCCTGTCCTGGCGTTGACCCCAGGCAGGTCACTTGATCTCAGGCCTCAGTTTCCCCTCTGCAGACTGGGAAGGATCTCATTTGGAAGGTAAAATCTCCCCTGCTGCCTTGTACTAGATTGGTGCAAAAGTAATGGCAAAACTCACAATTACTTTCCCAATAACCTAATAATTTAGGACTAACTGGAACCACAAGATGCCTCTCATGGCCTTTCTCCTCCCTGGAGCTTCCCTGGGGCAAGACAGCAGAGGGCGCTGCCGAGAAGCCCCAGTAGCAAAAACAAGGAGTGGCTTCAATCCAAGCCTTTGCAGTGCGTGTATGCCCATGTACAGACGTGCACGCATGCATGTTCAAGCAGCACGCGAGGGCTTTTTCCTTGTAAAAGATGAAAAACCAAACCCAGATGTATGTGGAATGGAGCACAGAGGCTTTCTCCTCCCATGAGTCAAATGACAGGACACACCAAGGGTGCCACTTGCAGACTGCCGTCCTCTCCCCATGGGCTGTCTCAGCAGTCTCCATGGCCCGTGGGAAAAGAGCAGGTGTTGGGTTGCCTTCGGAGCATATTCCACGTGTAGACGATCATAGGCATAATCGTGTTTTAGATAGAACCTTTAAAATGCAAATTGTACTTCAAGTTCTATTCTGCTCCCTGCTTTTTTTCACTTAAAAAATTTCTGAGGCTGGGCACCGTGGCTCACGCCTGTAATCCCAGCACTTTGGGAGGCCGAGTCAGGCAGATCACCTGAGGTTGGGAGTTTAAGACCAGTCTGACCAACATGGAGAAACCCCGTCTGTACTAAAAATACAAAAATTAGCCAGGTGTGGTGGCACATGCCTGTAATCCCAGCCACTCGGGAGGCTGAGGCAGGACAATCACTTGAACCCCAGAGGCGGAGGTTTTGTTCAGCAGCGATCACGCCACTGCACTCCAGCCTGGGCAACAAGAGTGACACCCAGTCTCAAAAAAAAGAAAAAAATCTGAAGCTGCATGTGGTAGCCCATTGCTTGTAATCCCAGCTACTGGAGAGGCTGAGGTGGGAGGATAACCTGAGTCCAGGATTGGAGGCTGTAGTGAGTTGAGATTGCATCACAGTACTCCAGCCTGGGCAACCCTGTATCTAAGAATACAAACCTGAAATAAACTTACATATACATGTGTATATATGATGGTTTGTCATTTAGCTAACAGGGTCTCCACCCCTAGCCATTTGGGTTTTGGGCCCTACATCCTAGAATAGGCTTCTTTGTGGATAAAGTCCAGGAAATAGCATATGAGAACAAAGGGTCCTCCTGGGGGTCTCCTCACCTTGCTGCCTCCACACAGTTCATATGTCATCTAGCTTTGGGGTGGCCCTGCTGATGCCCCAATTCCCTGGTTTCCCTGCCTCTTGGGGACAGTGGGGGCTGCGGTTCCTTCAGGTGTCTCCAGCAGGCACTGGCCCTTAGGCTGGGCTCCACTGCCAGCCTTACCCCCCAATCCCTGACCCCTTGGGATATGGACCTGACTGCTGACTCTCTCTACCTCCTCCAGGTCCCTCAACTCTGTCCTGTCACCCACACCCTGTCACTGTCCCCACCTTAACAGTCCAGGAGCCTGTGGTGGTTTGGGGTCACCATGTTCCCTGAGAGGCCCGGCCAGGCCTCTCTCTCCCCTGTGTCCACATACTACCCCAGTGCCCACCCACGGTAGAGGGTGATGTCTTGAGGGCCAGAGATGTGCCAGCAACAGGGATGCTGTCACTGACCCTCTGCTCACAGTCAGTCCTCCCCCAGGTGGTCAAGTGGTGGGACCCTCCACGCCTCCATTTTCTCCAGTGAAATGCAGCCACCAGCTTGCAGGGTTAAATACATACGGTTACCCAGGACCTCTCTCAGAGGGTTCAGAGGGACTGGTCTTCTTACCGACTGATCTTTTCACATCCCACCCACTTGGGCCTCAGTTTTCCCTCATGAGGATCCCCAAGCCCTTCTCAGCTACCCCTGCCCACCCCTCCCTGGCCAGTCTGAGGGTAGGGTGGCCCCCAAACTTGACCACATTCCACAAAGGAGCTAACTAGGGAAAGAGGTATAAGTTGTCACAAAGTCCCCCCACCCCCATATGTTTGGGGGATTAATCCCCCCCAAGGGTTTGGGGGATTAATCCCCATCATATGTTTGGAAGATTAAGGGCTGGGCAGAGGTAGGAGCTGGGGATGATTGATGAATGCTGGGACTGCAGCTTAGGCAACATAGTGAGACCCCACCTCTACAAAAAGAAATTTTTTTTATTAGCAGGGCATGATAGTCCCACCTGTAGTCCCAGCTACTCGGGAGGCTGAGGTTGGAGGATTGCTTGAGTTAAGGAGTTGGAGGCTGCAATGAGCTATGAATGCACCACTGCACCCCAGCCTGGACGACACAGCAAGACCCTGTCACCAACCCCCAACACACAAAAAAAAAGGGAATTAAAGGAGCTCACAAAATTTCAACCTCAAGGCCCACAGCACAGACCATATACTGAGATAAATCTGATCGTCATTGGCCTCTCTGGACTCCAGTGCTCTCATCCAGGAAGGGTCAGTCCATTTCCCAATGGAAAAACTGAGGCCTGGTGCAGTCTAACTCCAGAGCTTGAATTCTAAACATCAGTATCTGGATTTCCAGCTGGTTTCATCTGATTTAGAAGCTCCCTATATACACACACTTGCGTACACATGGACACACCCTGTGCAACGCCATGTGTGCATGTATGCACATAGATACAGAGACACATGTACACGTGTGCACACACACACATGCATAGGTCTACACACTGCATCTATTTCCCACGAAGTCCATACTCATGGCCCTGAGAACTTTAACACTCAGGAATTACAGCTCTGTAATGACTGGCACTATCCACTTCCTTCACACCCCAGGAGGGGGACCTCACGAGCTGAGCTTTTCTTGGCTGGATTTTTCTCCAGCAGTTCCTCAAGTTGGACTCACAGGAGCACCATCTCCCAGTTCCTGCAGCTCGTGGCCAGGTGTGAAAAGAGGAGCCTTAGCCTTGAGATTTCAGCTTCCACATCTTCATAACTTGCTTTTTCCAGGAGCAAAACAAATCTTAAGAATTTGAATCCTCAGTCCTAACATGTCCTGTCTGTGCTGTGTGACCTGGGGCGGGTGATCCTCCTCTTGGAGCGTCAGCTTCCTCATTTGCAAATGGGGAGAACAGTAGCATCTACAGAAGGATGCTTAAGAGCAGCACCAGTGCACTGTGAGCTCAGACGTCGGTTGATCTGTTTCCATTGTTCTGCATCACTGGACCCAGTCCTTGAGGCATCCCATTGACTCACTCCTCCTCCTTAAAACAAAGGCCAGGGGCGGTGGCTCACGCCTGTGATCACAGCACTTTGGGAGGCCAAGGCGGGCAGATCACCTGAGGTCAGGAGTTCGAGACCAGCCTGGCCAACATGGTGAAACCCTGTCTCTACAAAAAATACAAAAATTAGCCGGGTGCGGTGGTGCACATGTGTAATCCCAGCTACTCGGTAGGCTGAAGCAGGAGAATCGCATGAACCCAGGAGGCGGACATCGCAGTGAGCCGAGATCGCATCACTGTACTGAAGCCTGGGCAACAAGAGCAAAACTCTGTCTCTAAGTAAATAAATAAATGAAATGAAGTTTCCTGAGTCCTTACCTAGACCCCGTGACATGATGGAAGGGCCTTGACTCCAAGGTCCTGGTCACAACGAGTGACTTTGGAAAATTCACTTCGCTCCTTAGGGACCCTAGCATGCTCATGTTAGAATAAAGATGCTCCAGGCTGGGTGTGGTGGCTCACACCTGTAATCCCAGCACTTGAGGAGGGAGAGGAAAGAGGACTGCTTGAGGCCAGGAATTCAAGACCAGCCTGGGCAACATAACAAGACCTAATCTCTATTAAAATTTAAAAAAAAAAAAAAAAAACTAGCCCAGCATGATGGCACATGCCTGTAGTCCCAGCTACTTTTTTGTATTTTTAGTAG